TTCAGATATCCATGCTTGAATTCATATGGCTTCATATGTATGTGTGGTTAACACCTTTGCCTGAACAGGCAGGCCACCCCCTGCAATGAGACAAGCCTCTCATGTGGGTATCTAAAAAGTTCCTTTTACACAGTGGAAACACCTGGTTGGTAAGTGGATTAAATAAGCCAGAAATTGAGCTGGTAGGAGTGGAAGAAGACAAGGATACGAAGGAAGCAAAGCCAGCAGTTAGGTGCAGAGACCTGTTTCTGTGGAAGCTGAAGAGGGAGGGGAGTGTGTGTGAAGTGTTTGTTTGGGTTGTCATGAAGACGAGAAAATAGAAGCCATGGCAAAGGGGGGAGAACAATAAATTTACATCAGTTCAAGTACTCTTTGAATTTACATAAGAGATTTGAGATTGAAAAAGTTCACTTATCTGATCAGGCTTTCTCTATCAACTCATCACAGTGCCATCCTATTTTCCGAAGACAGAAGGGGAGCAATGATCCCCCTTTAAGGCAAGATGAGCCCTGGCACCACAGAGCCTCCCCAGCACAAACATGTGTACACACACGCACACACACACACACACGCACGCACACACACAACATGGACATGTGCACAGAACAAGAGGAAAATGTTCAGAATTGCATTTAGCATCTCAGGAAACCTAGGGTTTTCAATGAACTGTGAAAATAAGTCTGTTCAGACTGCACCGGTATTGAAAATCTATGCCCAGCAGCCACTCGGTAGCCACCTGTCCTTGCCACTGAATACCAAGCAGGAGCACTCCACATATGCTCCCCCGATTTGCAATTCTGCTCACCTTGAGTTTGGAAGAAGCAGCAAACACCATCAGAATGACAAGCTGACAGGAACAATACTGCAACAATATGGTCTGGCAGCGGGAAAAAGAGAGAAAGGAAGGACAGTTCCAAATGAGATCAAGGCATGATGCTGATATTATCACACCCCAGGGAGGTGGCTGAACCATCCAGTTTATTTCATTTCAAATCTTTGGTTCATTCGGATTTCCATTCCCAAAGGTGAGCAGCCAATTTCCTTTCTCCATGAATAATTTATCCTTGCCGTGTATTTACTATTTCAGATGTCATCTCCATCTTAGCACACAACAGTTCATTTTGTACAATATGTCCTCAGTGTTCTGGAAAATATCTTTCATTTTCCTATTACAAAGCATTCACAAATTTCTTCAGTTTCTAGATCAAAGCTATTGGAGTCAGTCCAGGAAAAGTGGTGGGCTTTTTTTAGCCTGTGGCTGCATGTCTATCAGCAGGTCACCAGAGGTTTCAGGATCAAATGTTAACACTGCTTGGAAAGACATACATAAGTTACTGAACATTTCAGCACAGGAAAGAGGAAGCAAGGAGTGACTCAAATCAAATCCAGGATTTCTTGTTTTCGGTAAGACAGAATCAAATCTCTTCATAACTTTGCCAAAAACCGTGATTGAAGGCACATGGAAACACATGCCATGGCTTAATGTAGCTGTTCCTGAAGTCCACGAAGACATCCCTGTAAGGTTTTTGTGGTCTTTGGCTTGGACACAAGATATACACAAAGTGCTGATCAGGAAAAGGACCATGTAGAACTCAGTGGAGAAATGAAATTGTATCAGGGCAGACTGAAAGGTTAGTTTTAGAGACCAAGCAAAGCTGGGTGTGAATTTCTCCAAAAGGCAAATTGGAGGAAAGTTTCCTATTCCAAAAGAAAAAGGCTCTGAAAATTATGGATCCAGGTCCAAATTAACTCAAAATTTGGGAGACATTTGGGTTTGGCATTTTGTACAACCCAAGTATAAAAAAGGGGAGCAGCAATAGAAGGTGCCCTCCCTGTAACCTAGTCACTGGTGCTGAGCGTAAGCTAAAACAAACTGGAAATCTGAACCAGATCCCAAACTTTGTGCTCAAGCTTGAAATTAAATTTCTCCCTCTCTAAGTTCTAGCTCATCTGAGTGTGAAATAAACCACATCAACTGAGCCAAGAAGATAAAAGGCAGACACTGTTCTCATGCCAGGCTGGTGCTGATGGGATGAGAAACTGCTTGCACAGGGCGAGCTTGCTTTATGCTCTGTGCAAATAATAAAATAAAGGCCGAGCTATATTGGCATTTTAGGTGATAATGGAAGTATAATTAGCAAAGCTCTATTCTCAGGGTGTCTCTTTCTCTCTTCTCATACCATTACAATTACAGCCTTACAGAACTGAGCTGAAACTTGTCTGAACCTCCATCTACGGCCTGGACCAAAGTGCTTTCCCCCCACACCCAGTTCATAGAAGTTCAGATAAGGATCTGCTATTCCTGTCCGTAAGCCTAGGGCTGACTGCCGTCAGTCTCATCAAATGTGCAACATGCTCGAGAGCTTGTCCAAGGCAAAAGGTGGCCAGAGGGCAAAATTTGGCCAGTGGTATAAAAGCTCTAGATATCCAGGGTGGGGAAAAGCAGGCCTTGCAGTGAGGCATCCCTGAAAACAATAATAAAAAGGTAATCTTCCTTCCTGCCTGTAAAATAAAGCAATAAATGGTATTTGCAGTGCTGACAGAACTTGCTGAGGCTGGGATATACCCACTGACTGCTCATCTGCTGCACATATCGGAGTAAAGGTCAATGCAGTATCTGTGCTACCCCTAAAATACACAAGAGTGTGTCAGCATATGGATGGTGGTTCGGTGTAGTGATCCTGCTTCGTGTTTTAGGGGCCCTCAGTCCTGGCACCCCAGAAGAACATTCCTTGTTTTGATGTCTGGAGGGGTAAAGAACAGAGGTCAGGAGACACCAGGACACCCAGAGGGAGCTCCCAGGCGCTGTCACAGGAAAAGGGCTGTTGGCCAACCAACAACCATGTCAGTACAGCATGCGAATACCCAGAAAGTACATTGTAAGAATCTATGGTTTCATAGTTGGGGAATGTCAGAAAGCAAACACAGAAACCCCCTCCACATAGTTTACCCAAATATGTGGCCCAGCATAGCCTGGGAGGGGAAAGGCAAGGGAAAGGAGGAGTTTGACGTGACTGGAAGAGCTTTTTTCAGTGCAAGACCATACTAAATATGAGAAACATGAATAAGAGCCATGGGAGAATGTGAAGAAATCCCTCTGGAGCAGCAAGAGGTCAGATCCTGTTTCCTTGGACAGTGGATCCAAATGCAGGGTATGCGCTAGTGGACCTGAGTGCAGACATGGTCCGGGGGCTCTGCACTGACCAGGATGGACATGGCTGGGCACCAACGCCAGTGCATCACTCATGCCATTCTGAGAGAGTCCTCCTGGGCTCCTATGACGCATGGGTTATTTCTTCCTCACGTCACAACAAAATCGTCCTGAGAATCACAACACTGAGCAGGACACTGAAACGAGCCTTTCTTTTTATTTGATAACTGCCATAGTGCTCTGAGACCCCAGCTGCAGTTGTAGCACCACCACGCAAGGCTTCACACCACATGGAAAGAGCACCATTCCTGGCTTTTGGCAATGCTCCTTCTCCCGGGAACAGTCACCCCCAGGGGATGCTCTGCAGCCCAGCACTCCCCCTGCTCAGGGTGAGAGCCTTCGGGTAGGCTCAGGACTCCAGCAGAAGCTCTGCTCCAGGAGCCATGTCTGTGAGCCTACCATCTGGCTTTGCCTCGCCTCTGTTCAGCATCTATGACTTCCCAGGCCAGGAGGTTGGAATGGGTGCATCCCACTGTTCTACCTCAGTAACACCTCTTGCAGGCACACATGACAGCACGGTATCGCCCGGAGCAGGAGGCAGTCCCTCCTGGAGCTCTGCCACAAACAGGTCCTTCATACAGCAGTGCAGAAAACAAGCCCCTAGAAAATCACGGCTTCTGCTTTTACCAATTGACACTTCTGGATTTAGCGGCTCCAAGACAATTGCTGAGTTATCTGTGGAGTCTTTTTTCCTCCTCCACTGTGACAGCTGTTACTTCTTTGCTTTTTCCAAGGCTGATTTCTGGCCACCGCTCGGCAGCCAGCTAGCTGGGAGGGGGGCAATGCTGTCAGTGTGTTACAGGCATTTTCCCACAGCCTGAGTTCTGGGGAATTACGAACAGTGACTACATACAAATGCACTGTGAATTTGACAGTCAGGTTGGGTATATGCTTTCACAAAGCTGGCTCCTGTGAGTTTTTCTCTTAACTAGTAAAGTTGCATGAAATAAGAGTTGGGTTTCATTTCAAACTTATTCTTTATTTGTGCATGAAGATATAATTTATTAGGTATAACCAAAATATCTTTAAAGTTGGTAAGTTTCTATAAGCTTTCAGAAAACAAGAGGTGGTAAATCTGTGAAGGACATCCTGTTTGAGGCATTTATGTTTAGTAAGAAAGAGGTGCAGCAGCATTTTTGTTTTTAATAAATGTAATGTTATTAGAGGTCTTTCCATTTACTAGGGTATTAGCGAGGGTTTATTTGAATGATAATATATTTACAATTCATATATTTGACAATCAGTTTGGAAAATGAAGTGTTGGTTAGAAAAGATGTATAATTATGTGCTGGGAGATCTGTATGTGTAAAACATGGATGAAGCCAGCCTTCCCTTTGAAAGAGCATCTAGCCCTAGCCAGGCCTATAGTTAGAACCAAAGTTTGTGAGCATTTTTAGGAGCATTTTGGGAATCTTCCTTTAGGGGTGATGATTCCTGATTCCAGCCATAGCAGCCAGATGTCTGTAACTGCTGGAAGCCCGGTTTAAATTACCTGTTTTCTATGAGCCTCATTTTTTGGAAGGATGGATCAAATTAATCATATTATTAAAACAATGGCGAGGAAACCGATGGCTGCAAGCACAGGGCATTGGTCCAGGGAGAATTAGATAATTAATTGCAGTTGCTGTAAACTAACTTGGGCACACCTGCTAAACTGGGGAAGCCAAAGCAATATTTGCTTTGACACATTTTTGTGGGAGAATGCTTGGAAAACAGAGGATATAGTAATGTTACTAGTTGATGTAGCTTTAAGTCTGAATTGTCCACAAATGGATTGAATTTCCCTGAGCTGTTAATACACGAGACTTATGTGTATCCAATTAGGGCTATTAAAAGCAAGAACGTTGCGGATAATATTTCCAAAGTTAATTAATTGACATAGTATCACTTGGAGAATGCCTCCCCAGAAGCACTCTCAACTAGCCCCTACCAGCTATGATTTATAGCAACTTGGCCTGCTGGTGTGGAAATTTAAAAAAAAAAAAAATGAACTGCTGCTGTAAGCTTATTCTTTAGCAGTGAAATTAAACTATAATTCTACACAATTTGCTAGGAATGAAGTAACGAAATATTTCTCTTTAAATAATGGTGTTGTTTTAGACTCTTGTAAGGATTTTCAAGTCGAAGCCCAAAGGATGTCTGCGATTATTACTCAAATCACAAGCAGTGAGTAGCCTCTCTCAGCGTATTAATTTCAATGGTTACTGGGAAGAAATAAAAAGTCACAAAGAAAAAAAAAAAGCTCACAAATCTGCAATGTTTTTCAGCATGAAGGGGGAGAGGGTAGGGATCCTGTGCATCGTTAAATACCAAGAACATGTACTAAGAGACCATATATTGGGAAATACTTGAAAAAGCCTGAATCAGGAATGGTTGCTCATTATAGCGTGGTGGGGTGAGGAACAAGTCTCTTTTTAACCCAACAAGAGGCCTGAGAGAAAGCCACCGAGATATCCAGGGGGTGTTCTGACCAGCAATGAGAACTTTACTCGTAGTTACAGCTTTGAGCTGTAAGATTTGCTTATTTTTGAAGATTTTTATGTAGCAGAACCTGTTGTATGCATTTATGGTTAAAAAGGACCCTTCCTGAATGTGCAGATGAAAACTATTAGGCAAAATAGCAACCTGGTCTAGTGGGAGGTGTCCCTGCCCATGGCGGGGGGTTGGAACTAGATGACCTTCTATCAGTTCTATGATCTTTAAGGTCCCTTCCAACCCAGGCTGCTCCGTAATTCTATGAAAGCTCTGTGTGTAAAATGTATCAGCCACAAAAGACAGGCTTGTAATGGGTTCTGCACATAATATGTCATCTGAGTAATAAAGGGGATTAGAATACTTATTCAGACAAGTATAAAATGAAGAGGGAAATAAATCATTTACATAGTTGGTAGTAGCTGAGACAGCATGCTAAAGTTTTACAACTTAAGAACAGAAGATCACATCCACATTTATTACTCATTAAAATAATTCTAAAATGATTATAATCACACCATTCTATTATTTACCATGGTGTTGCAGTAGATAATTTACGTACTCTTAGCATTTTGGCAGCCCTCGCACTTCATCCAAGCACAGTGACCAGCATCCACGAGACTGAGAATTAATTCAAGGCCTGCCTTTAAGCGTGTAGCAGGAAGATGCAGACAGGATTACACAGCTTCACTTTGTGCATAGCTGGGCTGGGTTTAGAGTGACAACTAAGAGGTGAGCAGGGTGAGCCAAGAGAAAAACAATCCTCAGAAAAATTAATTAGAAAAATTCTGGTCAGCTGTGTGTGTTACCTCATAAAACTGGCAAAGAAAAACACACAAGTAAAGGTGTAACTAACACAGTTATTTATTGTTTACAATACAACAAAGGCATGAACAGAAAGGTTCAGCAATTACTTTCATCTTTCATTAAAAAATTTAGTAAGCCCTAAGTGTATTCTAGGTGTATAGGTTATGATTTAATTTGCATTAACTACTGATTGAATAGAGACAATTTAACTAATAGAAATTAATCGTGATGTGACATTAACAAAATCTGACAACTGTTACAGGACCAAAGTTGTTACCAACAGAATTGAACACTGAAGTTGTATTAAGTTTTCCTTCAAAGAAAGGTTGCTTATCGGTGCATAATATTGCTGCCAGCCCAGTAAGGAGGGTTTCTCCCAACCCTGATGAATGCCGAAATTCAGGTTGGGAATATTTAGAGGTGGGATGTTTGCCTAATGTCAGGGATAGTCATTGTAAGAGGGTACATGTGTTACCCAGAAAGGCTATAGGAAAACTTCTTCCTGGATAGGAAGGAAAATGGAAATGTGCTGGTTTTGTAAGCTCACTGGAATTACTTTTAGCTAGTCTTGAAGACAAGGTAACATGAAAAGATAGGGGTGTTATAGGTTTTGTGGAAAGCCATTTCTAGAGCAACAAGACATTAGTTGCTTTGACAAAGAGTTAATTACAAAGGGAGGAGGACAAAATAGAGACAGCAAGACCTAAACAGCATGCTTAGGAGGACAGGTTCTTTTAAACCCTCCTAAGGGTGACACTTCCAGACTGCCCATCACAGCACTGCTGCCTGGCTGTGTTAGGGTAACCCAGGTAAAAAACTGCTTAGCTTATAGCAATAAAGAAAATTACCCCCATATTTCAGTTTTAATTACCCCCATGTTTCTGTCATGATTTTTACATGATGGGTCCAAAAACAAAGCTGGCAAAGGCACGAGGTGTTAATTGGCCCCTGTTTTATCTATGCATCTACTAAAAGAAGGTCACAACTGGAAGCCCTGGCCCAAGAGCTTAAATCTGGTTACTAGTCTTCTAACACAATTTTAGTGTTGACAGTCTGTAGGAAGATCTCCAAAAAATCTCATTTTACAACCTCAGAAAGAGGTGCACAGTATGGTATGCCTGCACCCTAGTGACACTTCTGTTACTACTAGCAAAACCTTCTGAGCCTTTGTGCAGAGGGCACATACACAAACACACACAAGGTGTGGAAGCAGGAAGGAGGTCACAGTGTAAAGGATCCTGGGGAGTTTTGTCCCATGAGAAACGAGCAGGCTTGCACTATGTACCCTCAGAGCACGATGCAGGCTGTTCTTGAGTGCCTGCAGCAGAAACTACCTGGAAGATCTTCCAAAGCAACCTTGTATGTAACCACTCCTCCCAAGGAGGGAGTGGAAGCAGTCTTCTTCTGTCTTAGTGTGAATCTCATCGATGTATAAGGTACTTAATCATGGCTGCAAAAGGTGTGTTAAACATCTAACACAGAATTAAGCATGCTGTATCGATCATAGCTTCTGCACAAATAACTCTTGCTACTGCTTCAGGAAGTAAATCCACTGGATTTACACTTTTATAGGATTCCCATTAAGTCCTGTGCTGTTTACATTGGCTTTATATTTAAGGACCTTATGTAGGCCTAAATCAGATTTCTGGAATTTAGAGAGGGATTGCATGTCTCCGCTGTAGTGAAATTTAACCCTGAGCCAAAACTTTGAGTGCTGTCAGTGATCAGCGGAGCATGGGCTTCACCCCATTAGCTAAGTGGTGTCAGAAAATTGCCCCTGCCCTTCTCCCAGAAGAAGCTGTCCAAGCTGCTTCTGTTGCATTGAATTGCTTTAATTGATTTTGCCCATCTAGACAATGTTGGAATCAACACACACGCACGGCTTTCATGGCTTAATTGGCAAAAGCCTGAGAATATGTCTGTAGTGTTTTAATGATTATGAGTTGTTCCTGTAGAGAATCAATTGCATCCGATATTTTCAGCTGTGACTAGGATGCTCAGTTCCATTTCTTTTTCACTTTACTTCCCAGCAGAGAAAATCTCTTCTGCTCTTTTGTTTAGACAGAAGAGCATCCTACGTTCTCAGTCAATACTTCATCCGCTCAGCAAGGGAAGTGCTAAATTTGTGCTTTCAGCTCAGCAGGCTTTTCTACTTTAAAAAAATAAATAAATCATTTTCTTCTTATTTCCACAGACTGACATTGTCATGACCTTAGATGCAGCAGCCCAAGAGCTTTGCTGGTGTACTCTACCTGGTACGTAAAACAAGAAGAGATGTGAGAGCATCCAAGCTGCCTGCGCAGGACAAGCCCTGCATCTGGCAAACACTCCTGAGCCCTCATTCCTCCTTTGCTTAAGCTGAGGCCAACAAGTGCGTTCAAGGTTAAAAAAAATAAAAAGCTGTTTGAGAACATATGTGCCCGCTGTGTGGGGAGGCCACCATGCCGTCAGGAGGTGACTCGCCAGGTTACAGAGGTCAGCTACCAAACACCACGCCTGGCTCAGCACCAGTGCCCGGGAGGGGGATCCGACCGGCCCGGGCACGGTGCCACCCTAACAGATGGGCACGTGTGCAAGTATCCGAGCAGTTGAAGGCAGGGTACCTGTTTGGGGATGCAGCTGCAGGAAAGCTATGAGCTGAATTCTGCACTCTCATTTATGCCTGCTTATGGGACGCTTGCAATGTCAGAGTTCTCCAAAAATGCTTCCTCTGCACAAGGTCTTCCCATGGGAGAGGACTGCAGGACAGCAAGAGCCAGGAAACCAGATAAGACCATCAAACATACTTTATATAAGCTGTCGATAACAATATTCTGTCACTAATAACCAAAGCCAGATTCATGCCCATTCGTTTCAATCACCATGTCACTTTGATGATGCAAAGTTTTCTTCTTTGGCTGTAATTAAAAAATAAAACAATAAAAAAAGGATGGAAGCTTCTTCATAAACCAGATGTATTTTCAATATTTTCAAACTTTTCCTTTTCCAAACAATATTATGGAAAAGAATAACTAGAAGGTGAAAATAGCTCCAGGGTTATCTACAAGTGAAAGCAAAACAGCCAGGAACATAGACAGTAAAAATGATGTGCATGGCCAGAGACAGAATTGCATTTTGGGAATTGAGACTCACATGCCACAAAGATATTATCATATTTAGGTTTGGGTTCTTCCTTCAGACACTCTTGAACAGTTTCCTATGAAGTGCAAAGACTATGCTTGTGTTTGTATCTGTGGGTAAAAATAAGATGTGACTTGATCCTTAACTTTATCATCATAGACATTTCTTACTTTAAACTCATTTTCAAAAATCTGCATATGCAGCTTCATTACCTGGCAAGAAGAACATGATCTTAAATCCATGTATCATCAGCATAGGCTCATGCAAGTGGCTTACCAGCTGGCTGGGTCTGCCCATCAGTTGTGGAGAATGTCTAGCCTTCTTTGCAGCACATGGGCATCATGTGGGGCAGCTCAGTCCCCTCCATCCCAGGAAACTTCAAGGTGAATGCATTTTATAGCAAAAATATTGTCTATAAAAAGCCACTTTAGACCTCAGATGTTCTGATTTTCAAGAGCCTCTAAAATAAAAACAATAAAATCCAAAGTCTGATCCCTTAATATAGGTAATCAGTTACTAAGAGATTTTCTGTCACAAAATGCCTTACAAGATGAAAAATTCTAGCCTCGTGGCTTTTAAGACAGAAATATTCTGTGGCTTCAGGGAAATGTAGCACATCCTTAGCAGTTAAAGGCTTAACACTGCACTGCAGACCAGTCTTCTCAAACCAGCTTGGCACAGATCCCATCTCCAGGTTCATGCAAAGCCACAGCAAGAATTTAGCACTAGAGACAGCCCCGTGCACAGCTGTCTTCTCTTCTCCCAGGCCTCCTCCAGCTGCTGAGATGTCCTTGCTGCCACGACAGATGTGCAGCGTGCCCTTCTTTGGCCTCTTTACTTACCCAGCTTCCACGACTGCATGATACTACCATGTTCAGAGGGACAGCAATATTGGGAAAGAGTTAAATGCAGTTGCAGCTGCTTGTAGCAACACTGCAGCTGAAAACTGCAGCACCTCATGACCAGAGGGCTCCTCTGCAGGTCAGGGAGCCTCCTCACTGAGTACAGCTCGCTGCTACCAGCCTGCGTCCCACCAGGTCCCCCCCAGCCACATCTGTGTACACAACAGAACAAACATAAGCTGGGAGCTTCACGGCCTTGTTGGATTACCAAATGAAAGCAGCTTTCCGAGGCATGGTTGTCATTGCAGAATGGATGTTTCAAGGTGCGTAACAGCTTAGAGAGGAAGAGAGCACAGCAAAATGTGCCTTTAGGTATCCAGAAGTTAGTTTTTCCAAGAGTAAATTGTGCTCCCTCTGTAACAGAATGCAGAGATGATGATCCTTTCGGTCCTCAGATGGCTGATGAAGATGCCTGTGCTGAGGCACTCTCTGGAGGTGTCTCTCAATGTGCACTCATGATGAATGGTCCCAACTGACTGGTGTGTGCTTAGGCTGCATCTGAAGAGAGGAGTGGGAGCACCTCCATGGACCAGGGTCCAGCTCCACAGCTACTTGCAGCAGGTGCGGGCATCGTGGTACATTTTGGACAGGTCTCTGACTCAGCTGGCTGGGAGACAAGGAGTCTGCGAGCATGAGATCATGCACCCATGACTTGGTTATCTGTAACATGGGACATGGCAAATTCCTCCTCAAGCATGCAGCTCACACTGACCTAGACTTGCTAAGCCATCCAAGTGAACCACGCAGGTGACAGATCACACCCGTGTCCAAAATCAGCCTCGATGGCTTCCTGGTGCTTCATTCAAAGCACCTGAGGCTGCATAATGGAATCAAGACTGTTGTACTGCATCCTTGAGGACATCCACCTGAGAACCAGGACCCAAATAAGCAACCTTTACACTTCAAGTGAGTTCTCCCAAGCACACAGTACCCCTTTGGGCTGGAGAGGTGGAATACTTGGGTGGCCTCGAGTCCTCCTGAGCAATCTCTTAACAAACCTTCTGCTTCAAGTACGTGATGTTAAAAATATCAAGCCCCTCAGCAAGTTCCTCTTGTTAAAAGTGGACAAATGCGTCCTATTACATCCCATTGTATGGAATCCCCACCGTGTTTCACCAACAGAGCAGTTGACCAGTGACACCTTCAGGCTGACCATAAAATAGTTGAGTTTCGCACAAAACTGTGCTCTAGACGCTTTAAACACATAATGCATTTCAATAAAATGTCCCAAACTTCTGTTGTCTTCATTTTATCATGTCTCTGTTGAATTCTTAAAGTATTTAAGACTTGAATACTTTTTTTATTATTAAATTAAATTAAATTAAATACTTGAAGAGTCTTGCAAAATTAAATCACTAACTATTTTTGAAATCCATCATCTAGATCCTGATTTCATTTTTTTTCCCCTCTCTACTGTGCATTTCTCTTTTTAATACAGGGCTTCTATGTGCCTTTATGCTAGTGAAAGTACATTAGTATGTTTTTCTAAACAAAACACCTAAAAATGTTTTACAGATTTCTGCCAGACAAAATGATACTCAATCCCCCATTAGGACATATTTGAACTTCTGCATTACAGCACATATATTGATCTGAAATTGAGCTTATCCCAACTTCTGGGGATTGTTCATGAACCCCAAATCTCCCTAGGCTGCTCCATGTGGCTCCACTGGTGATAAGAGCCCAATAAAAGGAAAAAGATAGTGGCTAGCATACAGCATGCTGGACTCCAACTTCACCAGCTGCTAGTTCAGTGATATAGCTTGAGGGCATCATATTTGGTCTGGGGAAGGTCCAAATGGGACAGTCCACGGGCCAAGATAAAGGTGTTTGATGACAGCACCAGCCTACCTTCACAGTCACCTTTTTTTTTTACCACCTCCCACTGCTCCTGGTTAACAGCTGAGGGGCTGGGCCATGACTTTAGAAGCACTCAGCCCGTAAATTTCCATGACTGACTGCAATTACATTATTAACTGACAAACATGTTCATAGGTTGAGGGCGGCTTCTGTGGAAGCTGAAGATGACAGCATTCAGATGATGTCAGTTGCTTTCAGATGAAGTCAGCTGGCCAGCAACACTGACTACAAGGAGGTCACGCAAATCTCAGAGGTTTCGCAGTGCATCAATCTTTGTATTTCATTTCTGTTGCTGGAGCCAAATTCATTGCTGCTTCATGTCCAGCTGAAGCCTGCAGCTTCCCCAAGCACTGGGATGTTTTCCATACCCAGCACACAAGGAGCAGGACAGCGAGGCAGAGCGCCCTGTTCCCCATTTTACCTGAACCTCTCAGGTGGGACCGCATGCTGTGCAGCCCCAAATGATGGAGAAAACACACATGCAGCGTCACGTTACTGCAGTGCCTTTCTCAGATGGCCTTGTAGTGCCACCTTCAGACTAAACCAAGACACATCCTATCCCTCTCACAACTAACAGTCCGTCCCAACTCTGGCTGCACTCCAGGCCCAACCAGCAGCCCTCAGCCTCCAGTGAAGGGGAAACCAAAATGCGGCTCAGCTTCAGATCCAGACTCAATTTTGTTTCCCTGGATAGGGCAAAAAGAAAAAGGGAAGGATCTGGTCAATTGCAATGCTAGGTCATTAAAGCCCTGTCTAAATCCACAAAATCCCGTAAGTCAGGTTGTTTTTGTTTGGAAGAAGGAGCTTTTGCAGAATCCTCCATCCTGGGTCTGCCTCTGAGGAGACCTTGTGGTCTTTCTCCATTCCTAAGGTATCAGACACTGATATTGTAGGAATCTGGTTCGTAAAAACTAGTAAAACAAATGAGATTAGCATTTTTAGAGAAACCTTGGCATGACCTTTACGACCATAACCAAGTATATAGGTACAATAATTGTGGTGAAACTAATTTGAGGAACAAATGATAGTATTTAAATGTCTGATCTGCAGACACAGTTTGACATGACACATCCGCTTTTTATGTGAGAAGGAACTTTCTAGCAGGTGTAAGCAACAGAAACCATAAACCAGAAGACAAATTAAATATTTGGCTTTTGGTTTTCTTCACCCTTATACTACAGATGGACAACAGTGAGGTCACTTCTTGCTATTTACTTTTTGGTTACTCAAAAACAATGTTTTAATTGAAATACAGTAGCCTATATTTGCAAATTGTGGAGATATCAGCATTGTATTTTCCAACCTAGTTCACGCTTTCTTCGTTGTTTCTGAATATTACTTTGTTTTCATTTCCTCATCAAAACAGAAATACTGAAACACCTGATCCTATTTGTGTTTCCTTTTTTTTTTTTCCCCGATCTTTTTCTGTCCATCCACCCCCTGTCTTTCTCTTCAATACTACTAAAAGGTTTTATAGAAAGCTTTCAATTTTTCATGTATTTTACGGGCATGTGCACATTAACTGATTGGGAGTGGCTGGAGGCAGAGGAGCATGGCATTAGTACAACATTTACCAAACATCACCTCCGTAGAGGCAAGCTCAATTTGATCAGACAAGACCGATCTAAGGTTGATCAGACAAGACTGATGTAAGGTCTTTTAACCTCAAATCCTGTTTGTACAGAGCAAGGTGTCCAGACCCCCCTGTTCCCATACTGACGTAGCATGACATTTTTAGCAATTAACAAAATCAGTTTATTTCCGTAATCATTAGGGGTTTGTGGACGGCGTGACATTAAGCACCCCAACAGGGGAGAGGCTGTGGGGCGGCTGAGGTGTTCGGGTGCTCGTCACTGAGGCGGCTCCCGCCCGCCATGGCGCGGGGCTGAGGCCGCGTGCGCAGCGGGGCCGTTGCGGCCGTTGCGGGCGGAGCTGAGGCGAGGCGGGGCGAGGCGGGGCTGGGCGGCGGGGCCCGGCCGCGTCCCTCCCGGCCCGGCGGCAGCGCCCTGCCCGGGCCCGGCGGGGGACGGGGCGCTCCGGCATGTCGCAGGCCGCCATGTCCGAGACCTACGGTAGGAGCCGGGGGGGATGCGAGGGGGCTGGGGGCCGCCGGGGCCCGAGCCTAGCGGTGGGTGGGGCAGGGGCACGGTCAGGAACCGGTGGGCTCGGTGGGAGCCGTGTGGGGCTCGGCCAGCTGTGAGAGGCAGCAGGAGGGCTCGTTAGGGGAGCACCGGCCCCGTTGTCCCTGCTGGGTGTTTTCAGGGGCCGGTGGTTTCTGTGTTTTCAGAAGCCAGAGCAGCGAGTTGTGCCTCGCTGGTTTAGGTAAAGAGTTGGAACCGGTTGTTCGTGGTCTGAGCAAGAACTGGGATCGCTCCTGTGCTCTTCTGGTGGTCTCTGAACAGGCAGATGGGCGGACAGCCAGAGAGGACAGAGTGCCAGCAGTGCTCCTCTTCAGCCTGCCTGCTTTGCAAGCCCATATTTTCACCCTGTATCTTAACAAGTACATTTCAACACTTTTTGTATTGTTCCAGTGATGCAAAATAGCAATTGTAAGCCCGCTGTGACTCTTGGTGCTTTCCGATTGTTTTGGTGTTCTAGAAAATGTGACCTTAAACTTGAAGGTCTGCAGCTGTTGTGGGTTATTTCATTTATTTATTTTTTTTGTGTGTATTTTTCTTCTGAGTTTCAGTGTTTGTTCTGTGTGTACATAAATAAGCTACAGACATTCAGAACTAGAATATGTGAGTGCCAAGATTTAGAGCAGATGGAGTAGTAAAAACTAAGTTATGGCATAACATAGAACTTACCAGTGCCTATGCTATGATAGTAACTAGATAGTTAGATAGTAACTAGACCATGATAGTAGCTAGTATCTATTTTTGCAGTGTCCTGTTGATGCTTTGAAAAGAGGCTAAGAGCAGGGCAAGTACATGTGATCATTTCCTTGACGTTCTCCAGCTATTTTCAACTTGAAATTTCCATGAGCTGAGTATGGTTTCTGTTGAGAAGCCCTCGGTGGCTCTTTCTTCAATGAACGTGCGCAGTCTTTTCTTGAACTCCGGCAAATTTGCATTCACAGCATCCTTTGGCAGGGAGCTCCCCACATAGGCCATCTGTTCTGCAGAAGGCTCTCTCCTTGTTTTCTGAGGAGTTCTGCTTGATGGCCAGTTTTATTTGATGACCCTCATCCCTTCTGATGGGATGGAGTGTAATGTTTATCTCTGTCTCCCCTCTTAATGATTTCACTCGTCATTTCCTAGACCTGAACAAAGGAAAGGTAAATCAGGTTTGTGTAAAACAACAGTTTCAATTGCCTTCATTCTTACATTAAAAGGTCTAGAAGCTTTTAAAGGCTAGTTGCCACATCTCGACTAAGGGTCAGTTTTAGATTTAACAGCTTTGGTTGGGTTGCCATTATTTTGGGGACTGTGCGTTGTCTGTTCAGCATCATGAGAGAGTGTGGTCCGTGTGCTAACTACATGTAAATGTTGTATTTCCCCTTTCTTTTTTGTAATTCTCCGGAACAGTTGGGATAGTTTACTGCAGAATAGCTATATATAGCACTTCATAATTAGAAGAATCTAAGTAAATGTTTTGGCTTGCTGAGAAAGCAGTACAGACGGTATTTTTCCAAAAGTTATTTAGAAGAAATTTGCTTAACCCTATTCCTTTCCAGGATATATCGGGTATCAGAATCATTTGGCAAGCCTCTGAGGTTGCTCAGAATTACTCTTGAAATTCTAATTTTACAGTGGTTGTTTTTTTCCCAAAGATTTTTTTTTTCCTGCCTAATAAAACTGCTTTACATAGCCAATTCAGTTTTACTCTCAGCTTTGATTTGAAAACTGTAATTGCTTTGCTCAATTCCATTGCTTCTGGAAGATCTTTGCAGGACTTCTGCTTTAATATCAGTATTGTAAATTACCTGTAGTTGAAGTCATGGTCCTATGATTAAGGATGCTTCTTTCTTACTGTTGCCAGCTGCCTTTAAGATACAGCCTTCTCCATATCAGTTTCACCATTTTATTTCATTAATCTCTTTCTGAGCCTTTGGATGTGATGCTGTCCAGGCTCCTTGGACTGTCTTCATGAATGCAAATGATCTTTAAGCATATGCTCAGAGTATTGGGGGTGGTGGAAACAAACCTTGCATGGCAGTGGACCTGTTGCCCGCGAGTTGTCACGTTAGTAGCAGTGGGGAATGAAAAGTTGTAACTGAATTAAATCTGAGAGTGAATTTAATATTGTCTGCAATGCTTTGCTAGCTTGATATCACTACCTGTGGGGCCCTGGAGGCTGGAGACCTGTAGAACTTGAGTGCCAGGTTCTGGAACAGATTGTGAAATAGACAGATATTGCTTATCTGCTTATGATTTTTTGAATCTTTTGCTTGCATGTTTCTTCTACTGGGAGAAAGTAGACTTTATGGTACTTCTAAGTCAAATAAGGTTTAATCGGACAAACATCCAACTGTGGTTTATTGCAAATATATCACCAAAATAGAGCTGTCTCACCTTTCTATGGTGTTTTAGCATGGGAATATAATGGCTCAAAGTTTGCTCTGGGAAGCAGAGTATAATAAAATGAATAATTAATAAAGATTATATTTGAGATTTTGCTCTTTCAGTGTGTGCTGTTCCATCCTCCCCCAGCTTTCAGCTCTGTTTGGAGTGGTAAAAGGAGACTGGCAGGATACTCGGTTGAGGTATATATTGGAACAAGTTGGGATTTCCTTCCACTGCTGTAGTGTGATCCTACACAATCAATTTCTTTCCCTTACAAGGTGCCAGGAACAAAACCAAAGTAATTGTGAAGAGAAAACTCCATGAATTTTGAGACTAAACTTAGGAAGAACTTTTTACTGCTTCTTTTGGGAAAGGAGGGTCACTGTAAAATGTGCGTCTGCTGTAACAGTGGAAACAAATCTCTTATAAACGTAATTTGCCTTTGAATAACTCATGCTTTCTGAGATGCAGTGGCCTCTGCACAGATAGTAACTATGAACACATGCAGGCTTCCTCCTGCTTCCCAGCGCAAAACTTAAGCGTTTTCACATGGTGATAAATATGGACTGATTTTTAAATGGCTTATCCTTCACAGGTAAATAAAAGGGACCTTTGGATTTTGAATGGTAGAGGGCTAGAGGAAAAGCTGTACTACCTTTGAGAGAATGTGTTGTGTTAGATTCCACTCAAATCTCTTCAGTCCCTACTTCCTTCTGTTTTCTCCATGAATATCTACAGCTGCCAGTCTGGTCATGAGTTTTTCAATCTGTCACTGTCAGAGATGTTTCTGTTCATCCAAAAGTGTTTCTTCTTGGTCTAGGCAACTTGATTCATGCTTTTCTCCTTGTCCTCCCTCCCTTCCCTTTCCACACACGCTTCTCAGATGGTCTTTGCATTTGTCACCACGGTCTTCAGTTTATTTCAAAGCTTATTTTTTATTGCTCAGGTCACAAAGCAAAGCTGCCCTCTTCCAAGCAGTCTCTGTGCCAACTGGAACAGAGCCAAGTATATCGGTTCTACCTGTTTATCTTGGAAATCCTTACTGCTGGAGAAAGGGGTCAGCAGGGAGAATAGCTCCTCTTTCCCCTCATGTGGAGAGAACAGCATATGCTAGTAGGAGTGCTTCAGAGCACTCTTTCCTTATGCAGACTGATGCAAAATCAAAGGTGTCTAACTATCAGGAAACTTTTTTAATTGGTATGAATGTGAGTTTCCAAAGGGTCAGCATTAATGAATGTATGTTCTAGTCTTTCTCAGGCAGTTGGTAGAAGCCTGAGCTATGACTGAAGATGTAAGTTGGTCTTTTTTCCCCTCCTATATTAGGAAGAGTATAGAAAACAATTCATTTCACATTACATTTTAAAGACTAGGCTGCAGTAGTTCAGAAGCAGCTCAATTATTCCTTCTGCTGGAGTAAGCTTCAGATGGAGAAGGAGGTTGGATGGCCTGGGGTGGTTTCCACATCGTCCTTCTGGTTTTGATCTGCCATGGTGGTTGGGTCAAAGCCCACCATTGTCTCCCTTCTCCTTCCCCTGGCGTACAGCAGTTGGGCTGCTGGCGCTGCTTTGGGGTAGAGCCGTGGTTTTACTCAGTCCTTTTCACCTGTGCTAGGAAGCCAGGATCTGTCCAGCTGCTTTGCTCCCTGGCACTGTGTGCAGTGCGGGATCAGGTGGGGCATGTAGCTCACAGAGGGGAGTAAGTTGACTCCTTGTACTGCCTTGTTTCCTTAAACAGCCGGGCTATGCTATCGTTCTTCATGCTTTCTCTAGTGAATGTCTTGTAACCCTTTTTCCTTCTGGCGCAGAGTTAGTTTTCTTTCAAAATCCTTTCTACATAATGAAGACATTATTTACAGGCAGAATGCTTTAACTTTTCTAGATCGTTTTAGTAACCAGCATGATAGCAAGCGTTTTTAGCATGGGAATGATGTTTCTTTTCAGCTTCTCCATGAACGAGGAACAACAGAGCTAATAAGAAAAGCTTCTCTAGGGTGACAGCCTTGGCAGCTGACTGGAATGTCGGAGCTCAGAGCTTCTTTGTCAATCACAAAAATGAATAAATAAAAGCAAGCTGTAAACGAAATAACTGAATTCCTCTGGGAGAGGAGGCCAAAAAGAAAAACTAGAACAATAAGCAATGGTACAAACACTAGGATATGAGTTGTGTTCAGTGAAATTGCACAGAATTAATACATGGAAGGTTTTCCTGAGTATGAGTTACAGTGTGGGCACATAGCTTCTTTAGCCTGTCTCATTCAGTTTCTGTTTCTGAACAGTGCTGCATTTTCTGAGACATCCACACAGTTCAAAGAGAAGATGTTTCATGTCCTAAATCAAACAGAGAAAGTTATAAACACGTTATTGATATGGTTGCTATTATCATGCAGAATGACGCTGTAAGAAAGAAGTTCCACAACAACAAACTGAAAAAATATTTTCCCTCTTCTTACCTGGTATTACCTTACTCATTGATAGTTTGGGCTCAGAACTTTAAAAAGCTCTGAACTCATTAAATATGGATATTTGTGACTTCTGTTATTGGCAAATGCTTTTTCTTGTCCTTCCTTGCTGGTGATTACATGTATAAAGCATTCCAGGTTTCCTGAAACGTGTTATCCGGTGCTTGTGGGTAAGCTATTAACGTGAAGTCTGATACAGAGCCTTTTGCTCTTTTGAACAATTGACATAAAATCATTTCAAGTGATAGAAGTACCCCTGTGAACATAACTGCAAAGCGTTACTTTCCTTACTGTACGAGTCTGTGTATTGTGAAAGATTTTCTGGTATAAAATTTTTAATAGAGGGCTTGGCTTTTTCCACTCTGTAGGAGACTAAAACACTTCTCTTCTTTACAATTCACTTGATTACAGTATGAAACTGCACTTTCGAGTTCCACATTAGAAAACAGGTTTGCTGCTTTGGCAGATGGAAGCTTTTTTTTTTTTTTTTTTTTTTTCTCTACCAAGCAAGCAGGTATTGAATCATCATCTATCCAAATGATTTTTCTGTAGGAGAAAATCCCTCTTAAAGTTGTCTGGCCTAATAGGATTTTGGTAGGAATTAGGAATCTATCCGTAAATTGCTGTTAGTGTATGGTGTCCATTTGAGGAATTTAATATGAAATCTCCAATACCACTCTGCTTTCAGAACAAAATCTGAAGCACCTCAGGAAATATCCAGTGCTGTTCTGAGGCCCTTCCATACCGTCCCTGCCAGTGACGCCATTGGCTCTGAATTCCTCGCTGGCCTGCAGCCTGTCTGCGCAGAACAGAGCAGCTCCTCGATTGTGCCACTCAGCGGGGTTTTGTGCATCGCAAAATCTGGCTTTGGCAGCCACATCTAACAACAGAGGCTTAAAATGACAGGAAAAACTAGTGTAGGAACAGAGATTTTCTGTCATTCTTTTCCTCTTTCAGCTTGACAGTAGCCGTTAAACTACTGTCCATGGTATGAGTTGTCCATGGACAAAAGAAAGGTAGATGTGATTTTTATAGTTGCTTTTAACACAAAATTCTGACAAGCAGCATTTGCCAGATACATAGGAGAACCGGTTTTAACTGGATTTCAAATTTATATTTGGAAAAAAATGCAGAGACAAGAAACAGATTATTTTCATTGCAACTGTGTCTGAGAACATCGTGCATTTTGAGGAACTCTTTGAAAGTGGTAAAATCAGTGAGATTACACACACCCACAGTGGTCTAAATATATGGGAAGGTACACAAGGCAGCTAACTAGTGCTGTGTGGTACTTAAAAAGAGACATTTGACTTTCTTAGCCTAACACTTCGGGGCCGTTAATGATATAAATACATCTCATACTAACAGTGAAGATTTGATATAGTCTGGAGAACGAAGTATTCTGAGTTTGAGTGTGTTTTGCAGCTGAGGTGACACGAAGGGTCCTTCTATACTGGAAGAACCAGTACACACTTTCACAGCCTGAACCAAAATCCCTTTTCTTACTTTCTTTTTCATCTACAAAGCATGAGCAGCTGGTTGGGGGCGTGAAGAATGAGAGGAGTTTGGAACAGAATGTCTAGAGTATGTAAACAGTCACAATACTTGTGAGCAAAAAAAGCAATCTCTTCTTTCTGAGACAGGCAGAATACAGAGTCCATACCAAAGCCTGTTACAACATTTGGAACAGGAAAATCATGCAGAGGTAGAGTGAAAAACAGCAGAAACCTTTGGTAAAACAATACCTCATTTTAAAGATAACAAAATTTGGAAAACAACTGAAGACAAAGAATGGTGGGCTTTGCCAGGATTCATAGCCACTTGCTTTTTGCTTTTGGCATTGCTAGATGTTTATGATGCACCATAACAAATAATTCCTGCTTGAAACAGAATGAGCAGGTAGACTTCTTTGTGCATGTTACATTCGACCTGTAAAGCTAAAGGTTCAAACAAGGTTCTGAAAGATTCATGTATCGGTGCTTTGACTTGCTTGGTATAGTCAAAACTAACACTAAGTTTTGTTTTTTTTTGTTATTGCAAGCTTAATTTTTTTCATTGCATGCTTATTGGATGTCTTACTATGTTTATAAGAAACTGCACAATAAAGCTAAGAGGACTATAAAAAGAATGCTGCTGGTGGAAAAATAAATAGTGAATCATGCAAGAAATTTAACAGTTGTCCTGATGACTCGGTACTAGGGAAGTAATTGTAAACCTCCTAATCACAGTTTATCAGTGTAAATGTTTGAGAGTGATAAGACAAGGAGGCTTTCTTCAGTCTGCAGCCAACATGAGAGTAGACCTGGAGAGGTAGTATCAAACTGAATAGATAACAATACAAATGACATCTTGAATACTTGCCTTGCTACATGAACACTGATGTAAATGGTTCATAAGTAGGCAAAGTGCCAGAAGTAACTGTATCGTCACTTACCATACAGAGGAGACATGAAAGCAGCCATGCCAGAATAAAAAATACTTCTTGCCTCTGAATACATAGGAAAATCATTCTAGTTGTTCCAGATCGTACAAGTATTAAAAGTGGAAAATAATCTTTTTTTAATCTAGATGTTTTTGTACTTTTTTCTTAGGAGTAAATGTCATTATACAGGGCATTTGTACTGACTCTAGCTAATAGCTTATATACCCTTAAAACAGGTTGCTGGTATACAAGCCAATCACATGCCTTATAATTCAGCCATTTTCATCTTCTTTGTCATTCTTGTATCTCCATAAGCAAATAGCATTCTTAGCTCTTATTTTCTAACCATCACTGTTGAATAAACTGGGTTACTCTTCAGATTTATCGTTATCTTGCCCTCTCTTCTCCGTGAAATAAGAGCTACTGGAGTAGATGGTCTGGGTACTTGGTCTTACAACAAAGATGTGAGTTCTTACCAGAAGCTAACAATTTTTTTTGTTTGTTTTAATCTTCAGATTTCCTCTTTAAGTTCTTGGTCATAGGAAATGCTGGAACTGGAAAATCCTGCTTGCTACACCAATTTATTGAAAAGAAGTGTAAGTATACATGAGCACAGTAAGAGTTCTCCAAAGATTTACCTTTCTCAACTGAATTATAATTATTTTGAGAAACACCTCTAGGATGATAATGCGTAATTACCAAGGAACAGTGCATGATTCTATGAACTTGAACTATGATCTCGTGTCTGATATGGACAGTTACATACTGCTAAGAATCTGTGGTATCAACGGTCTACGTAGAGCAAGTGCCTTAACTTCAAGCTCAAAAGAAAAAATGTATCTTATTCATTGGCAAGAGTGGCAGTTTGTGTTTGGCTTTTCCTTTAATTTTAAATTGTGTCAAGGTATTAGAAAACAGGTGAAGAAAATGTAACAGACATTGTCTTGCCATTCATTAATGGGAACCAGGAATGATTTGATTAAGGCAGGTCATCCTAGTAATTTTGAATTCAATAAGACGCTCAAAAATTGTAATAAATGCTTTATTTTCTGCATGGTGGCAGTAGGCTTGTGGGTGGCACTGATTTTTGCTTGCTCAAAAAGTAGTTGATAATTTTAACATTGAAGAGTTTGGATTTTGTGACAACTAATCATTTACCCTAAGTACTCTCTAAATAACAACTGTTTTTTTTGTATGTGTTTTTTTTTGTTTGTTTTTTTTAGTCAAAGATGATTCAAATCATACAATAGGAGTGGAATTTGGTTCAAAGATCATAAACGTTGGTGGTAAATACGTGAAGTTGCAGATATGGGACACAGCAGGACAAGAGAGATTCAGGTGCCCTTTTCAGCCATTTCATTAAATGTTGTTTCTTCAATTATTACTTTTGATGATGGGTGTTTTTTTTTATCCCTGCTTATAAGGAGGGAAAATGGACTTTGAGAAGCCCTGTGTGGCTACATTCATTGAAAACGCTTTGTCAAAAGCCTAGTTATAAATAGTCTGCTGCTGCGTAGCTTACTGTGTTTAAAATCATGTTTTATTTAAATAAATAAATGTTTCATAGTGTTGATTGCATTATATTAACTCAGATCTGAAACAACAGAGATGTAACAGCGTGGTGATTTGCACCAATGGCCAACTAAACTCCTCTCTCGCTCATCAAAGGAAAGGGATGGGGGTTGAGAAACTATTTTGGGGAAAAAAAGTCTCACAGTTTGAGATAAGGCTAATTAAAGAGAAAAGAAAGAGGAAAAAAATACACAAAGGTCATGTGGAAGCAAAGAGAAAGAAAAACAGTCTCTGCTTTCCATCAATGAGCAATGTTTGGCCACAGCTTGGGAAACAGGGTCTCACTGCATGTAGTGGTTGTTTGAGAGGACAGGCATTTTTATAGCAAGAGCCTCCCTTCTGTGTCCCCTTGTCCACCTTTTATTGCTGAGTGTGACTCCATACCATATGGAATATCCTTTTGTTTGGTTTGGGTCAGCTGCCCTTGTGATGTCCCCTCCCCACCTCTTGCCCACTGCCAGCCTGCTGGCTTTGGGGTGGTTTGGAGGGAGTCCTGCTGCTGTGCCAGCACTGCTCAGCAAGAGAGAGAACACTGGTGTGATACCAGGGCTGTTCTAGCCGCAAGTGCAGAGCACAGCACTGTGTGGGCTGCTGCAGGGAAAGTTAACTCCATCCCAGCCTGACCTGGTACAAATAGAAATGGATATTTGTAATTCTGTTTCAGGTCTGTAACAAGAAGTTACTATAGAGGTGCTGCAGGTGCTTTGCTTGTCTATGACATAACCAGGTAAGAAAACTACTGCGTTTTGTTTATTGGCTATCAGATATAGTTAACAAATAATTATATACTCTTATATACTCCCCAAGTATCTAATCCTCAACAGAGAATGTACAGGAAGAAGAGAAAAATGTAAAAAAATATTAGTTTTATTGTGTACTCAAGTCTTGGAACTTGCTCACATGAGATACTATGAATGCCATAAATGTAAACAGAACGTAAGGGTTAGAAAAATAGATGGGAATGGGCTCACCAGTAGCTGTTGTAATCATGGTGGACTAAATGCAGCCGCTGGCTTAGGAAGCCTGTAACCACCATCTGTTGGAAACTGAATAAATCAGGGAAGGATCACTGTGCATGTCTCGTTGTTCTGTTCCTGAAATCTTTTACATTCATGGTTTTACAAAGCTAAAACAAACCTCTGGCCTGATCTGTGTTGCTTAATTTCATAGCCTTTAAAACAAATAACCTGGCATTGGCAGGGTGCAACATTAGGGCAGACTTGAGCCACTTTTAACCAAGGCAGTACACCCCTATTTGTGGAAATTGCTTTTTAGTGTTCCGGTATAACAGGTCATCTTCTGGAGAAGCTAGCTCCACCTATGCATTCCTTAACCATAGCCCCCCCAAAAAACTGTTCATCTGTACTTTATTTTTCTGGCCACCATTGACATACTTGTCGGCTAAGTTTCATGTTGGTTCATAATGACTTGGCTAGGTCTGTTGCTTTTTGTCCTGTGAGTGTACTGTTCTCCTCTGGGCAATCTTTGAAATCAGTGTTTTGTGCTTAAGGTCAGCTGGACTCATTTGTCAGTCCTGTTTCTTGAAGGCTTTAGCATTGACCACTACTACAGTGACTAATGGTGTGTGCATAACTGCCTGCACTGTAATTGGTCTTAAAACAAATGTGAAACTTCAGGTCAGCAAGTCTCTGTAAGTGTAAGTTAATTATTATAATCCCATCTGAAACTTAAGAATCGGTTGAATTCTATGTTAAATAATAACTCATTCTGTTATCCCTACATTTCATGTACAGAAGTCTGAAACTAGCACTAAAAATTCTAGCCTTTCATTTTAACAGAGTATTTTATTATTTATTTTGACTTACTCCAACCTATGGGTTTTTTTGAGTGAGTAACAAGCAAACTTTCAGAGCCTTGCAGAGGCTACAAGTAGTCTAACTCATCCTGAGCTATGGATTTTTTTTTGTTTGCTTTTTTGTTTCATCATCTGTTCCCCTTCCATCCGGGGTTGTCACTCCAAACCATATTAGTGGTATTTTACAAGAGGTCCTACTTTTAGAGAGCTATAGAGCCGCAACTGGGATATCTGTATGTGTTTTAGCAAAACATAGTTCATAGGACCTGGTGTCTAATTAGAATTTATTAATCAGAATGACTATCTAATGAAAGGAGGTACGGCAATGGAACAGAATATTCAGTAACGCAAGGAGAAGTAAGCTGAGAGGTATTGCTCTCTAAAGGATCCAACAGCACATGTACACAGCTAGCATGTTTCTTGACTTTGAATATATAAAATACTGCTGAAAAGAAATTGGCTGTGTTTGTGATTAATTGAACTTCTGTGTTTTAAAAGCTTTAAGCTTTTAAATAGTTTCATGAAAGAACTTGATACACTTCACAGTTCATTGCTGCATAGGTGACTTGCCTGACTAGCAGCAGTTTATGGCTTGCCACAAATACAGACTTGCCTTCTAAGTTTTATCTCAGTGATCTGTTCACTAGAAACAAGTGTATTCTAATATGAGATGTTATTTTCTTCGCAGCCGAGAAACCTACAATGCACTTACTAATTGGCTGACAGATGCAAGAATGCTAGCAAGTCAAAATATTGTAATAATACTGTGTGGAAACAAAAAGGATCTTGATGCAGATCGTGAAGTTACTTTTTTAGAAGCATCCCGGTTTGCACAAGAAAATGGTAAGTAGTACAAAATCATCATGTAATGATGAAAGATGTCTTACATTTAAAACAATTTATTTTTTGTGCAGACAGGGAATACTTTGTTGGCCCACTGTAACTTGTCAAGTATCTGTGGAAGAGAGAATCCTGTTAGTACACGAGGCAGAGGGAAAGGACAGTGTATGTAACAAGAACTGCACGTACTATTTAAGTCCCATTACCAGTGATTCTTCCAGTCACAGCTGCTACTTGAAGTGTGGCAATATAGTCTGTAGGGAGTGCAATACAACTCAGGTGTTACCTTGCCACCAGTGGGCTGGAGAGAGAGAATAGAGAGTAATATTTCCTGGTTTTCAGCTTCTTGTAGATATTATACATTATAGATAAGGTTGGATGGTGTTGACTCCAGATGAAAGCAATACATTTTATTCATGAGAAACAGTTCAATATATGGCATGGATCCAGAGGACTATTACCTGGTCTGTAGTATCCAGAATTTTCAGTCTTTCAAGACGTATTTCAGTGGCAGCTAAAGCCAGTCTCATTCCGAGCTTCTGCGCTACAGTCCTGCTAACAGTAACATCTGTTTTCAGTTTGCAAATTGATGAAGTCGTTTTCTACCATGTATCTTACTATGGTTGCTAGCTGTCCTCTTGCATATAGTTTTCTATTATCAGGAAACTATATGAAGCTCTTCAGCTTCATATGCTATTTTGCATGTGCAGCCTAGGCTATTGTGTTCAGATTCCGACTTTCTAGGTTTGTATAAATTTCAGAGGAAGCTTTTTTGATTTTTAGTTTTGTTTTCAAAAATTGATTTTTTTCAGGACCATCTATCTATTCATAGTATGATAGCTCTCCTCTTGTTTAGGAAAAAAATATTGTTCCTATCAATTTTTATGTTTGAATTACTATATCAGATATTTCAGACTTGCCTTGAGATTGTTTTTTCTGGTGTCAAATACAGAGCTGATGTTCTTGGAAACAAGTGCACTAACAGGGGAAAATGTTGAAGAGGCCTTTGTACAGTGTGCAAGAAAAATACTCAATAAAATTGAATCAGGTAAATAGAGATTAATATTATTAATATTATATTAATACTATTATATTTTTTAGAAAAAATAATATTATTAAAAGTATACATGTAAGTATAATCATCTAAAGTGAATTAATTGTAATAAAATAACCCGTTTGATTTATAGCCATATGTTTTAATAGAAATGAACATTCAAGTCAGATCTGTATACCTGGAAGGAGGAGAGGGGTGGATTATGGATGTTCTGACATGGCATTTACCTTAATTGTCAGCTCAGAGTATGGGCAATGCATTCTGTGGGTTGCTATGTCCATACGGACGTGAAGCATGACATTAGTTTTAGCAATGCAGAATAAAAACCTAACATGGGGGCAGGCGTACCTTTTATTTCTGCTTCTCTTATATAGCAGGAAATGTGGTCAGGAGAATTTAAACACGAACACAGAAGATGCCAGGGATGTTTCCTAGCAACTGTATTCCCTGAAGTGACCTCCCTAGCTCTCAGTTGAAATCATTTTTTCTTTTGCAGATCTAGAAATATACCAGAAGCTTCTCAATGCAAGTGGGCAGGTTTCTATCAGAAACAGACTCCCAAGTGTTGTGTCATTAGAGCTAATCTGTTGTTCTGACTTTTGTCTGTCATCAGCTGTCCAATGTCTCCCAAGTTTTAAGAATGGGCTATATTGAAAAGTATCTCAGACTCTAATTACACATTTTGTATGCCAAATTTATGTGAAAAGAATGCAGTATTTTCACAGGAGTTTCCTGGTTACTGCATTAAATAAATGCCAAATAGCAACCTTCATTAAAAAAAAAATGAAGAAAAGCAGAGTATGGCTAGCTAGTCATGATACTGGATTTCCATGACTGATTTAGGCATTAATATGACAAAAACGAGTCCTGCTTTCTGTGAGCTGCTTGTCCTTCCCCTTGTGTCATCACACATGCATTGAATCATGAAAAAAATGAGCCTGGAGAGGGCCTCTGGCGATCTCTAGTCCACCCTCCTGTTCCAAATAGGGTCAACTTCAAAGTGAGAGCAGGTTGCCCAGAGCACACCGAGGCATATTTTGAAATGCTCCAAGACATACAGTTCTCCTTGTGCTTCCTGTGTCTGTTGCCTTTTGTCCTTCTGTTGTGCATTTCTGAGTGCAGTCTGACCCCAGCCTTTAGACCCTTTTAAGATCCTGTAGTCCTGTATTTAGATTTTCTCTTAGCCTTCTCTTCTTCAGGCCGAAGAAACACAGCTTCCTTAGCCTCTGCCTGAGCTTCAGCCTGCAACTGAAGTTGGTCTCAGTGGCCTGAAGAGGTCTCAGTGGCTCTCTCCTGTACTCTCTCCAGTTTGTTCTTTTGCATTTGTGGAATGCAGAACTGGACATACAGCTCTCAGTGTGGCTTTGCAAGTGCCAAGCAGAGTGAAATAATCACTTGTCATCCTGCTGGCTACACTCCTGCAATCACAGCCCTGTGCATTGTTTACCTCCTTTGTCATGCGTGCATGCTGTGTCTCATGGTCAGCTCGTCCATCAGGACCCCCAGGTCTTTTTTGGCAGGGCTGCTCTGTAGCAACTGGTCAGTCCCCACCCTGTACCAGTGCTTGGGGTTGTTCTGTCACAGATACAGTACTCTGCACATGTAGGCACTGAATGTCACGAGGTTCCTGCTGCAATGGTTCCTCTAGTTTGGTCAAGGTGCTTTCTGAATGGTAGCCCTACCTTCAGGCTCTGCTCAACGTGGTGTTGTCTGCCGACTCACACGGGGAGCAGATATGTGCAATGAGCCTGAATAAATTATCTGAATTATTTAGAGGGATTTTTTTTTTACCTATATGTTTCTAATCTTGGCCAGTTCCCCATGGAGTAAGAAATGGAAGAGCATTTCTGAAGGCACTGGGTGTGAAGTAAACCAGCCACACAAATGGATTAGCAGTAACCAGGAAGGCTGAAGCCATTTCCTCCGGGAGCAGTGCTGTGCAGAATCTTACTGTCAGATTGATCCATTTCTGTTTGGCTTAGTATTAACAGTGCTTGCTTGTTAGTCTCTGAAAGCAGGTGTCTTTTAACATGAAACAGTGTTTGCAGAACACATTTTAGGTATTTCCTTTGTTAGAAGTAGTGCAAAAACACTTCTGCTGCAGCCTAGCTCAGAGACGAACTGCTTTGTCGTTATGATTAAGGGCACACAGTTGTAATTACAGGAGAAAATAGTATGGTTTTAGAGTTGCCTAAGAATAAACAGAATTGCAATAGATCTCTCTGTAACTAGAGCAGAACAGCATTTTATGTTTGTATCTGATGTCGTTTAAAGTGGAATGTATTATTTGTAAGTGATCCATCCTCTGTGACCATTTTGTTTCTCCTCAGGAGAACTAGATCCGGAAAGAATGGGCTCAGGTATTCAGTATGGAGACGCTGCCTTGAGACAGCTGAGATCACCACGTAGAGCACAAGCACAAAGTGCTCAAGAATGTGGGTGTTAAAGAAGCAAAGCACAAAATTCCAAATACTCGCTTTAGATACAGAAGGTAAGTTACAAAAATCTCATGGTGTTTGGTAAACTACTATATTTCATAAATGGGCTACACTAACTGCTTAGCATCTTCAGTTTCACAACCTGTAAAGTCAGCAGCATGGAATCTAATGAAATAATGCACAGTAGAGGTTTACACAAGAGTAGTATTCCTACTGCTGTATTTGAGGTTTTTACTCTGAGGAATTCTGCGGAAAACATTTGAAAATTCTGTGTATCTGAAATGCATTGTTCTTCTGATACTTACCTAGTGCCCTGTAGAAAAAGTGAATCATTTCCATGATATTGTGAATAAATATTACTAGGCATGAGAATTTACAAAATGCATGGGGGCAGTATCTTGTCCAAAACTATTAGATAGTATTTTCTGAAAAATGATGGAATTTAAAGACCGACACTTGGAAATGAAAGGTAGTACTGGATTTCAAGCTTCCACTGACTGTTTTTTTCCCTCTTTCCCCCTTAGTCACTGAGGGTAATTAAAGAATTGCTGTGTATAAGTTGTTCCAGCCTCATTAAGCCTTAGCTCTCTGACATGAGGGCAGTGATATCAAATTAAGCTATTACTGGAAGCATAGTTACTATGTCACTCTTACTGTATTCATTTTTATCAATTTGGGCAGTGCATGGCAGCATTACTCAAACTGCCAGCAGAAGCTTTACAGAACGTTAAATAAGGCCACATTCAATTATGTGTTCTCATATTTTGTTCTATATTCCAGGAGCTTAGCTCCCAATTAAAGCCCAGAATTTTAAATAATGCATGAGAATCCTTTAACTGCTTTCCTCCCTTCTTTTTCCTCCTACAAATACCTTCCTTCAACTAAGACTGCTAAAAGGGGTATTCATCTAGTCCAGCTCTGTATGGCTGCACAGCAGTGCCTATTTATTGATCTTATTTCAGCTCTTGAGATTTCACATTGATCAGTGTAAGTGATGGAGTTTTTATGTATTTTTCAGCTGTCCATGTAAATGACGTTTGAAGAAACAAGGTTTGAGAGCTATGCAGTTTTTAAACACGCCTTTCCACTATATCCAGACAGAGCAGATGACTGCTGACAGAAAGGTGCGCTGTGTGCTATGTGTGGAAGAACGTCCATGTGACACAAAGCCTGTAAAGAGAAGCTGATAATTCAGTGGACAATGTTAAGGTGGTACCTGTATGTAAACATTTTGTTGCCTAGTTTTGTTCTTTCATCTTTAGTTGAAAGCATTGCTATATACTGTAAATAATGTAACAGTAAATTTACAAAGCATGGTATACTTCTATGATGATAGAATGTTGCACTACGAGCAGTTTAATATTTTATTTTTTTATCATATAAACTGAAATATAACTGAGGTAGGCTTTGTCATGTTTGTCGCACAACAGTTTATATTTATGCCATATATTATAAAACCACTGGCAGTGTCAGTAAGAGGTGGCTGTTTGTTTTTCCTTCTTAGTTTGACACGTTCTGACAAGGTGTTTACACAGGTGATATTCAACATAGGGTTAGACCCATACTTAACATTTTGTAGCACATCAAATTGGAGAAGTCATTTTTATTGAAGTTCACATTTCCTATTTTATCATAATTCTTAAATATCTTTTGAAGTTATTTTACCAGAACTTAGAAGTTCAGAAAAATGCTTTTGAATCTCTCAAATGGCTGTCAACTGACATGCATCTTGGATTTTTTTTTTGGTTCTGATGTTTTGTTTAGCACTGGTGTTATGTTTATAGTATGTATATGTGAACGGAGCTGTGCATCTTCTGTGTGTTTTGTAATTCCAGTGCAGGGGCTTATGGAAAACCATCACAGTAGGAGTTCTATTTAACCTCTTACTTCTGACTAAGAAATTAACTGGCAAAAATGATTTCTGGTGAAGCATACCTGGTAAAGTACAACCTGAACCCAAGTGTTTTTTTCTAGACTATCCTGAACATTTGAAAGTTAGAGTAGTATTATCTTGTTCTTAAACACCTATAAAGTACAATTAAGAACTCGAATTGTAACATTAGACTTTTAGGAACTTGGATTCTGCCTTTCTGGAGCTCTACATTTTAACTTTTGTTTAGATACTATATAATGCTATCCACATTGCTTCCAGAAGACTTGCATGATAGAAGAAAAAAAATGCATACTACTGATGTAGGTCTTTCTTCCTGTGAAGCTCATCAATGAAATCTTCAGCCTTGGTGCTGATTTTTATATGTTAGAAGAATTCATTCTTCCCTTCTGCTGTTTTTGTATGGTGGGGAAGAGGTATGGAACAAGAGATTAGGAATCCTGTTGTCATTGCTTAGCTGGAGACAGAAGAGACTTGCAGAGGGTTAAAGAGGGAGGAGAGAACCACAAGTAGTGCATACCATTTTGTCAGTGTCATGACAACTGATCAGGTAAGAGATGGTGCTCTTGTGGAGCTGCAGAAATAAGTTCATGTTTCTTAAGGTAGCCAAACTCAAACTGTTGGGGGGGAGTGACATTTCAGTTGCACTGATGCACAAGTAAAAATATCACCAGTGATTTCTAACTAGAAAGGGGATGTTATCCTGGAAGTACAAATTAACACAAAATAGCTCAGTGTTCAAATTCCAAGGGTAAAAATGCTTTATTTTTCTATATGCGAATCTTCCCTATTTAAGGGACATCAGTCAAATGCCCATTTAAAAACTAAATCAGAAAACTAAAAACTAAATCAAAAAGGCTCTAGTTCAGAGGGCAGTTAATACACGAGAGCAAACCAAAAGTGCTACGGAGAGGAGCAGTATACTGTTTTCCATGGAATTAAAATTGCATGTAAAAAAAAAAAATAAATGTCCAGGCACTTTCGGTTCAAATAGATGCTCATTGTGAAGTTACATACCCTTGGCTCATCTCTGAATTCAAAGTACAAAATAATTAAAGTTTGCTACGTACTAGAAAAGTCTAGGCTTAATTTTAAAAAGGTTGGAAGATCAAAAGCTTTTCGTGTTATAGCTCTCTATGTATGTCTTAAGATTTGGATTTTTATATAACTGGTGAGAATTTATTCCAAGGCATTTTTTTGTTGATAAACTGTCTCAAAATATACTTTTTAATAATAATCCTGCATTTACAAGAACAACTCCAAGTAACCTTACCCGTCTTAGTCATGACATTTTGGCTTCCATTACTCGAAAAGCAAGTTCCCTGAAGTAGATGGTGAATGCAGTTACCTCCTCCAGCATGTCCAAATGGCAGATTGTTCAACTGAGGTGTGTTGCATTTTTGCCACAGTTCTTGAGGTTGGGGCTAAAGCTGTCAGTTCTGAAACCCCAAACCAATACTGAAATACTGGAAAAGTGATAGAGGAATGTGTTCCCCATGATCTAATCAGATTTCTTGGTACACAAAAATAAAAGCTGTGCACCTGCCTGCCATGACAGCACAGATAAAGCCAAAGGTCTCCCTTCCAGCACTGTTAAAATGGTTGAAGAGGGGTTGGTACTTGATCACAACTTATTACAGTAACAGTTGAAATGGGGGGAAGTGTTGTTACTTCTGTTGCTTTGTAGTAGTACACTGCTGAAAGAAAGCGCTCTACAGGGTGTTTCTTATTTTAAAAATATTTTCCTGTCCTTTTCCCTTTATATACAAGAGTGGCCCTTCATTTATACTAGCTCATGTGATCATTTTGGTAATGTGTCTGTGGTTAAGCAGCAGCAAACACAGTTTTATTTTTTAACAAATTATCTTATGCTGTCCCCTTCCCATGAGGAAGGAAATAATACCTTCATTATAATCAGGCTTGCCAGGTTTTTACCATTTTCTTATACCTAGACCATTACTATATTAGCACATATTATATCTGGTTAATATACATGTTTTGTGAAGTGTTGCACCCTTAGGCTGTATCTCACTGACATTTAAAAAAGATACTTTCTAAAATGGCAGCTTCTGAGGAGAATACTGTTGGAAGCAGTAGCTTTCTAAGCTTTGCTGTTTACTCTTTTCCTCTGAGTAGTTTTATTTCTAAAAATAACCATCATGCCCATAAGAGCTCTGGAATCAATTTTAAGCTTTAATATTATAGTTCACACAGCAAACCAAACCTAGCTCACATAATATTAAGTGATAAATGTTAAATTATGTATGTTTTTTAGTGTAAAGTTCTTACTTTACCAAAGCACGCTGGCTTAGTTTTATACAAAATACTAGGCACCCAGATCCTAGGATTTACTGGATATGGAACTTTAACCATTCAGAGCTTTAGAAGATTTAAATGTCTTATCAAATCCTGTGTTGCCTTTTAATGAGGCTGCTGGCCTATACTATCTCATTTCATGCTTGTATTTAACCCCAAATAAAGAAACTTTGATTTTCTAGGTGTTGTACTGCAAATCCTGTTTATTTTCACTTCTGCCTGATAAGCTACATCCACAAGACAAATATTAGATGGCCTCAAAACCAAAAAGAACACTTTTGCTGAATTCATTGTGAAGCTGAGCTGGTAGAATATCAGCTAGGAGAACTGGAGCACAGTTTCAGCACATTTCCCAGCAGCAGGGACTGTCATACAGCAGTCACTGTATTTCTCCCTGGCAGCAGCTCCCCCAGCACCCTCACCACACAAGGCGGCCCCCACCTTGGGGCTCTGCTGCTGCCACCCACTGTTAGAAAGGCAGCAGCTGCCAAGGCTGCCTTCCATAGAGAATCTCAGTTCCTGCATGTCTGAGCTGTGAGGCTGCATTCAGTTACTTGATTCTTAGCCTTGCTGGGTTTGCCTTTTTGCTCTAAGGATTCCAATACCAATTAATTTCTAGAGAAGATATATCTGTCTAGAGCTCCTGGAGAACATGGTTTCAGAAGATACATTTTTAAAAAAAAATCAAAGGGAAGATGTTTCTCTGCAACTTGAATCCTGTATATGCTCTTATAACTTCTACAACCTGCTTAGCAACACAGATTATCCCCTTTCTTTGTACTCAATTAGATACATCTCCAATAGGAACTATGCCTCCTGGGCCTTAAAAAAAGAACACTGAGAAGTTATTTGTGTATATGGCTCATTTGCATTCACATTCAATACACTGAAGGAATTAAGACTTAAGGGAAAAACTCATCACAATATCAGAGGAAAAACATACCTGGTAGTTTTAGTTGTATTCCTCATTCAGTATATATATACACTCATAGAAGCATATAGAAACTCAGTGCAGCCATTCTCAAATAACTAATTTGAAAAGTTTTCCCAGTTGTAACACCATACTTGTTCTAAGTGATGCAGCTTCTTGCCTTTTCCCCGTACTACGATTTTTTACCCTTTTTCCAGCTATAAAGGAAGATTCACAATTACTTCAGCCTGCATTTGAGACAGAGCCAAAACTGTAACAAGCTGTTTTTTTCTTAAGTTTATGCTACATTAAATGACTCATCTAAGGAAATTAAATTTTAAAAATCATGGGAGAGTTTTAGGAACAATGTAGGAAAAACTCATCTCTCAGGATGACTTGATTCTGTAAAGAGTGGCTTTAGTTACATTTGTCAATTACTCTCCATAAGGGGAGAGGATATGGGAGAAGCAGAGGCTGTATATAGTCTGCATGCAGTCTACAAGAGCCCTGTAGCAAAACTGAGACCCAAAGAACACCACAGCATAAGCACTCCAGGATACTGTGTCACTCATTTTATTCACATATACAAGTTGACACTATACTATTAAATATAGACAATACAGAAGCATTAAAAACATATACTATTAAAAACTTTAAAAAACACATATTGCTTCAAGCTTAGATGGTATCTCCCTAGAATTTTTAAAGTGATTTAAAGTGAATCCAGTGCTAACAATAGCTGAGGCAGCTTCCCATTCACTTCTACCCCTAATTTTATAGGTGCTATTGTCAAGGTGTTGAGTCAGGCTCTACATATGGCTTTGCTGCTGAGTGCACTAACTGAGCTAGAAAATAAACTGGCACATGCAGGTTATTGGACATCAGTCCTCAGATTGCTAGATTTTGGTCCTTATCAGTAAAAAAAAAAATCAGATGCCTTTATAGTTCAGTTATACTGCATTTATACCATAAAAATTAGAAGGGCAGTATGCACTTCCCTAGATGTTAAAATTTGATTAATATGCATTGAGTACCTTGATAGAATTTGTTACCACACATTCAGGTCTGTCCTTCGCAGTTAAGTTTGGCTCTAAATTTAGGAATCACCTTGACTATCTCAGCTTCTAGTAAAGACCACCATAGTTCATAGCTGCAGAGATGTGACAGCAGTGACTGAACAGGCATGCTACTGTACTTCACAGGGACATTCATATGCAGTTTTCATTGCAACATTTCACATTGTAAACACGAGTCTTTACAACACTATAGTTAAATTGCAGCATTACACTGTGAAAGTCTTATTTCACTTGGCTGAGTGCTTTCAAAAACTGAAAGGAATAAACAGTTACTTTACTGAAGACTGGACAACTGAGTATTGACTGTGTTCTTACAAGGTTTTACTGGTAAAACAGGAGTGAGAAGCATTCATAACTTGGCTCAATTCTAAAGTCTATGGCAAGACAAATCTGAACTTTATTCATTGATAGGGTAAACATTATCTGGAATGGAAAGCAAAGTCAAACTTGATGCAAAGCAACCTGCTCCTTTATCTGTGGAATGTAGTTAAAGCTTTGACACTTGAAAGTTCTGTTTTCCAAGTCATTTGTCTGTTCATCAAATTCATGTTAGAACACTAGAAGAGTTTTCCAGACCTCAGCCTGGCACACTAAACATTTTGCATATACAACTTGCAGTTATCAAGACTATACTAGTTCACAGAGCCTGAGCAAATCTACTAACCACCTTTTTTAAAAAGTCAAATAATGCCCAAATATAAGAAAGCTACCTGATCAGCAGAATAATTTGCCCCTCACTTCAGGCATTACTCAGACTAAAGTTGTACCAACATAGCACCCAAGATTTTTAGCTACAGACCATTTAAAAAACACAAGTGACTTACATGATCCAGTTCTGTCACTACTATCTTCTAACTTACTTTTGGTGGGGAACTGCTCTTGTCCAGACTAGGATAAGAACTAGAATATTTCCTTAGTACACAGCAGCCCGGATGCTGCTGAAAGTTTCTCATGTTCTACAGAACACCTGAACGATCCTGTTTTGAGACTTTCCAGGTTTGGTACCCAGTATCCAAGGCAGAAGACATTTAAAGCCCCTAGTCCAACATCTAACAGGTGATCCATCTTATCCAAGAATGGGTACTTAAGGCAGGCACAGTCATCTTGGCTCCTCCATTCTCAGCGGGAAGAGAACTCTGGAAGCTGCCTTGGAAAGTGTGGCAAGTCCGTGACCAAGAAAACTGCTTGATGTGGGCACACACTGAGGGCACATAGTCCATCTGCTAGGGTCACGTGAGGTCTACAAAGCCAGAGGTGTACATAGCATCCTGGGTGACAGGAACAGGCTGTATTGAGTAAGGCTGGTAAATAGTACTGAGTTAGTGCTGTGATACTTGTTGTTCAAAACTAAGGTGGATTTCTGAATTCAAAGTGTCAAAGCAACTTGAGTATCTTTACAAAAGCTATTTAAATAAGAAAAACAGCATGCAAAAAAAGTAAAAATCCCATGTGGAATAAAAAGCATTTTGTCAAATAGTTTGTCTCAGTTTTGAACAGAGTTTTGAAGTTCTAGCAAGTTCTAAACTGTGGCCTACTAAGAAGTTGGAATACAGTCATTTTGCCATGTATAAACATACCTAGTCATGCTCTGCTTCCCCAGCTTTAGAAGCTGTAAGATCTCTGGTCAGTAGCCTGAACAAGAGTTATTAGGACCTTGTAAAGCTTTATACTTGAAAATCAGGTTATAACTTCATGGGGTCCAAGACACCTTAGTAAGACTGAAATCAATGAAGCCTTTACTGATGTACAAGTTAATACTAGAAGGCAGCAGTGTTTGGTCCCTCCACATTTCAAAAACATCCACAACCAAACTCAACTACGCATCTGTCCCTTGTTGCAGCAGCAATTCTAGTCCTGCTTACTCACTGAGATGGTGCAGTGAAGCGAAGACAGGCACAGGCTTCTGCTGCAGAAGTGCAAGTGTGCTTACTGTGAGAAGTTGTCTAGTCTGTAAAAAGCGAGCTGCAAAGGTGTTAAAGGTAACCAACATACATAACACACAGCACATCTGAACAAAATCTTGAAGCTCACAACTACAGGAATAGTCTGCCTAAAGCTTAGTTATCAAACTGAACAAGTCATACACAGCAGCCTGAGGAGAAAAAACACTAAGAATTTGACAAACAATGACTCTTAATACATAACAGACCTACAAACTGAAAGCGTTCAAGCTCCTTTATATATATTTATTCTTTACTAAAAGGCTTCTTTACTAAAAAGTACCTCTCCTTCCTTCTGTAGCCCTCACCCCACTAGCAAGGAGTTCTGCACCAATTTGGGGGCAGAAAGCTTCTCAACTTCACCTACAAGCATCATCAAAAATAATTTAAGTTTTAAACCCCTAAAAGCACACTCATACAATACCACCACATGGAATGCATGTTGCAGTCTAACCCCACTGAGCGCAGATATTCCTAAATGTTAAAAATAGATTTCACTAGACAGAAGCCAGCCCACTGATAAACCGGCATTTACATGATTAAATGTAGAATAAGTTGACCACAAGCTTAATACAGTGGTGCCAAGTTGATCCTGGTACAACAAGCAACTGCCTATCGAGCAGCAGCTGTGAGATGATTGTCTACATCAGTTATTTGGTACAATAGGCACAGCAACAGCAAAATGATCCTGTAGCTGTTACCTGCTCTGATAATTAGTAGTTTATTACAATGACCTTTGTAACAGCAGTGAAAATTAGAAAGTATTCACCAGATTCACCGATTCAGCAAGTTTTTTGAAAGCCTCTATATACAGACAACACTTGGCATTTGCCTAAAAAGCATCTATGTTTATTAGTGCTGCTTACCAGACCTACTGGCTTCCCTGTTGCCTGTCTTAATACACTTATTTTGGTAGAAATATTGACTCAATAGTACTATAAATACAAAGGCACCTCCATCACACCTTTAAAGTTTCTCTCCCCTAATATAATACCACCTCCCCATGATTTGGAGGACTTAACTTTGAAGTAAGGGATAGCAGATTACTCATAACCAAGATCAAAAAATGTTTGCCTTGATTGCCAGTATGCCAGGCTTCCCCCTCCAGTCCCCCCACCCCCAAAACAAGTCAACTGAAACGCATTACAAAGATTCCCAAAAGGGGAATTGTTTAAAAATTTGGGTAGCTATATCTAAAAGCCGCTTCAAATGTTATGGCTCCAACTATACACCCCACTGTGAGGTAGGTAGCCAAGATAAAAATACTGTAACAAATATTTTAACAGCTGGAAACTCCCTATAAAAACCTTGCATAAGTAGTTTGGTTCCTTGCACCAGTGTCCTGATAGGCAAAACTTTATGATGATACCTAATGGAATCCAATTTCACCGAGCTCTTGCCGAGTAGCATCTCATATACTCTGTCATCCACGGGTTGTCTGGCGGGGGAGGTTTTATCCGGCAAGGTTTCTCTGTTTCTGCGGATCGTACTCGCCTCTGAGAAAGCTTCCTTTTCTCCACCTGTCTCCTGTTCTTTGCTCGTAGAGCAGATTCATGAATCTGGAAGAGCAGAGTTAGTGTTACAAGCAGGAAAACAGGCTAGGAACCCCCCAGGAAAGCCAAGGGGCACTTGCTAATTATCCCAACCCCCATTCTGAAGAAACAGGGTTTGCTAGGAAGATCACATTTTCTCATGTAATTTGCACCACTAATAAAAAAGAAGCACAAAACTTTTCCATAAAGAGATGCCTCAAATTCTACTCTGCAATATTTCCCCCACCTCATGGTGGGAAAGACTGCAAAAATTTAATGTTTCTCTGAATCTTAACTCTGACATTTTAAAAGCCTTGTTTCTCCTATTTCTACCATAGGAGATTCTTAATTATCCCTCAGTATGTATCCCTTAAAATCTAGGCATAGTAGTAACATCAATCCTTAGAGACTGCTCACTAGATACCAAATGTTTAAATATAAAAACCTGTGTCCTGATGCATATTCAAGTTATCATTTTCACCGAATTTGGTCTTAATAGCCAGCTTGTGTTTGCTTGCCTCTGTTTCCAGACTTAAAGATCTCATCTCAAGAGGAGAGCAACAACTTTGAAACATCCAAGAAAAGTGACCTAGGCAGGCAGTAAGCAGTACCTCCTTACGGAGCCACCCCTACTGACAGGGCACTACCATGGCTTTCAATTATTTAAGTGTTTGAGAGGAATCCTGCCACTCACTACAAATCAGAGACCCTTAAGAGTTCTTCAACTTTGTTTCTAGCATGAGCAATGTTAGAAGTATTCCACAGTATCTCTCTCTCCACTCAAGTTTGGCATTAACATCTATTGGGCTTCAACAAGGCACCAGTCAGCATCTTCCACTGCTGATCCAAGTTTATCAACCCAGTAACAGTGTCCCTTATCAGGACAGGCAGCTTCTTCCAAAAGCTGCAGGTCCCGTTCCTCATTTCCTTAAGAGTTCAGCTGGACTCTCCCAGGAAGGAGAAAACGCTTCAAACCCTTTCCAAAACAGCCTGCTGGAAGTCAGCTGCACCTCACACATCAAGAGCACATCCACCACATTAATCCTCAGGTATCTTGGCTCAGGGATTCAGACTCAGAGATTCAGATCCCAGCTTTGGGATGCCTGGTGCTAACCGACTGCTGCTTTTCATGAAGTTCAGAATACAGCAATACACTTACAAGAGCCAGTTTTGCTGGTAGCACTATTACAGCCAGAAACAAGATAGCCAGGCATTAATCAGAACTTCCAAGTATTGCTCAAAACAGGTTACCAGTTCACAGCTACTGCAGTCAGATACGTCAAACATCTTGAAGTTTACCGCTGTAACTTTTCCTTTATTATTAATGACAATACTGTACTGACAGTACATAACTACAGTTAGGTAGATCTCTGCACTTTCCTCTGCTTCTCCCCTCTACACCTAACCCAAGTTCTTGACTACCACATAGAAGTGTTAACTCTAGTGAGGAAAGCATTAGCAGGAACCACAGGTGACAGCTCTATGCACAAGCACACCCAGCAGAAAATGTAGATACTTGGCTGTGACCAGTATGGAGATGCATATCCAGCATTCAGTATAGAACTGGCTTCAATCATAGCTTGTCATACTCACCTTTATTCATCTTATGCCTGTCATTTTTCCTGTGACACTGGTCATCAGTGTAGGCAGACAGGTTCCTGTCTGATGAGAACTGAGTTTCCTATAGGGTAGGAGGGCTCTAAGCCTCCTGAAAGGTTTGCGCATTCAAGTCTCCACTGTATGCTTGCCACACTAGAGGCCTGCAGGTACAACCACTGCTGCATTTTGATGGAGAAAGTACCAAAACCACTTCTAAAAAAAGTGGGTTTTGGTATCAACAAAGCTAGACTCTACAAACTCAACCGGATAATGTAGAAAACTGGCTGTCTTTATAAAACAGGGTTTAGCAACACAAAGACTCTGCAGCAAGCAGAGCTAGGCATCCAAACACATTTTTGTTTTTTTGACACTTTGAAAGCCTTTTCACAGAAATACCGTACTGTGCAGAAGGACTAACCTGACTACACTCTGCTCATACAGAACTCCAATCACAGCCAAACCTGGAGGGATGACACCAGCTCTCAAAGGAAACAAAGCAAGCCCCTAACTCCACTCCTGCATGAGATAGCATAGCCACAGCAGGACAGTACTTACAGGACAGTACCACCCACAACAGAACAGGTTGTTGAAGCCCTCAGTTTCCCAAGCAATGACAAATAAAAGCATCCTTGGAAGTTTTACCTAGATATTAGCCATGTGTCTTTTCTAGGCACTAAGTCATCAGTTCTCACTTAAATAGGAACTTTTTACTTACTTCATTCACTGAAGCAGAAGCACAGACGTTGTGAGTTTTCTGGCTTCCAGTATCTGTCTGTTTCTCTCCCCACCCATACAGAGCAAATGGATGCTTATTCTCCTTTGGTGCATCTGTCTTTTGAGGACTTTTGGCTGATCTTCGATCATTACGACTGGACAAGGCACTTCGGCTTGGACGTCGTCCTGTACGGCTGGTTTTATCTGCTTCCTTTGTGGAAGTCTGTTCTACAGTTTTTTCTTGCTCTTCCTTCTGATGCTTTTCTTGATCTTCTCTTTCTTTTTCTGAAAAAAGAAAGGTCTGCTTTGAGCTCCCACTAACAATCATGCCTATCTGCACAGCCTCTTGATAGCTCTGAAGCCGCACTTTCTTTTAAGCAAGTGAAGACGTCACTAATTCTACCGCAGCAAAGGCATACCTCACTCAAACGCCTTCACTCCTTAGTGACTGATATTTCCAAGCCCATCCCTCTGCACATCAGCTTCCACACATTTAAGTGTGCCTTTCGCTAGTGAGGCTACAGAAGCCTAATAGCTCCAGGCAGCACTGTAAATGCACTAAGAATGTTTCCAGTGATCTTCCATCTTCGCCGTTTCATCCTTTCATCTTTCAGACAGCGAACAGATGGACTGCTGAACGGCATGTAGATGCTGCCAGCCAGAGAACAAGCCTGATAAAGCTATGTAAAATAAAACGCTCATATTACAGACATCCACTGAAAGAGTGCATTTTCAAGCTCCCTGATTATTCATGCATACATCTTGGTTATGGTTTGCTGTTTACATCAGAGAGGGAAGTATGAACCAAAGATTTATAAAGCAATCAACATCACCCTTGCTATCTATTCAGTGAAGAATGCCTTGTGTTTAAAGCATCACACCACAGGCAGTGCTGCCCTAGACTAGTTTCCCCACCTTCCCTATCAGCATGTCACCACCCCCAGCTCCTGACACCACACAACAGGGCTGATATAACCAATGCCATTTTATACAGCAGTTACCTACAAGCAGGGTGATCAGCACTGAGAAAAGCACGCTTGCCCACCAGCACAATGAAAGCCCCCAGGGCTGGGCTGCCAGGATGCAGTGACTCCACCACCGAAGGAAGTACAACAGCACATGAGATGTTACCCATAAAAATCAGCATCTGCAGCTTCCAATTGGGCCTTGTACCAGAACTGCTGCTGGATGGCAAACGATACCACCATGGTCATCATCCTCCAAGGACCAACGGACTTGAGTGATTTTGTGTATTCCAAGTCTAGGTCATGACTATTGTGTTCCATGCGGATTACTCAGTACTTGGCCCGCACTGCAAAGGGCCCAGGTGATTAAAAATTAGGTAATAATAAAGCTGTGCTAATTGCTAAAAATTCTGTATGAGGATAAAGCTCTAATTATACTAACAGCTTTCTGGCCAGTTCCCTACCCAAGGTCCCTAAAGGCCCTGCCTGTTCCCATAGCACCAGGTGACAAAGGGGTGCAGCATTTGGTTTACAGAACCAGACGTTAAGGATCACAGAACCTAATATGCATCATTTAAATCTGCACATTTAGACTGATACTGAAGGCCAGATCAGCATTATACAAGACAATGTAATATACAATATAAGACATTATACAAACCGACATCATGACCCAGTCTTCCCATGACTTTTAGGCCAACCATGCCTTTTGTTTAAAGACAACCAAAGCCTTTTATTAACCTAGCAGCACAGCAGTCTGCTGCTAAGAGCTCTCCCTTCAAGGGGCTATCTTTGAGCTTGAGCTGCAGCCTTGCCCTGGACACACAGCAGTGCCCTCAAGCTGCTTGCAGAGCAAGCTGAACACGCAGGACTCCTGCCACACCAGCTGCAAGCTGCCCACGCACCAAGTCGTGTGCTTCCAGCAACCACCAGCACACGCTGGTGTGTATGGAAATAATTCCTCCACTGCTATAGAATGAATTCAGTCTTGCTTTCATATTGAGAGGTTGACCACAAACAACTAGAGCAAACTTCACAGCAGTACCTTCATTAAGAGCAGAAGGATTTGCCCATCCCATGACACAACAGCAACCGCTCATACTAATCGCTGTGATTTAGCTAATCAAGCTCATGCATGCCCGATCTGACACCGCTTTAATTTCATTCTAGCATCCACCCAGCTCCACCAGAATAGAAGTTACCTGCCTGTTCTTCACTCATACCCTCGCTCTGCCCCAGCAGGGTACAGGATGATCCGCTGCACGCCCCAGCACTGCCCTGAGGTGGGCTGCTTCAGCTGCTCAGCTTGTTCATTTACTACTCACTGCCAAACCAGCACAGCACCTGGTGCTGGGCACTCCAGGCTGTGCAGGTGCAGCATTCAGAAGCAGATGCCACTGCAGCATGGCCAAGTAGCTGTTAGAAGTAGCCAGCAACACAGCAGCATCCAGAGTCCGATTGAGTGCCCCTAGAGAACAGCCAAGGAAAGCAGCCGGTGCCAGCGGAGTGACAGAACGAGAGCAACGAGTGGCCACATGCTGAAATATCAGACACACGGTTTCGGTCACAGCCAAGGCTGGATAAATGTGAAAAGCAATGACCCCAGTGTGGTAAAACACCAGCTTTGCGTGGCATCCTGGGCTCCAGGGCACAGCTTCACCGCTGACAAGGCAGCACATGCAGCCCAGCTGCAACAGGCAGCACAGAGACATCCCCTTGTAGCCTGTTACCTACAAGTTTCTCTGTACTGCCCGCTCTTAAAGAGGAACCAGCTTGGTCCTCTTCCGCATACAAGAGGCCATATCAGGAGGAGGCACTGTTTTGAGCATGTCAGTGACATTTCAAAGAATAACACAGTGAAGGGAGGACATGTTGCTGTCAAATATGCAGTGAGTCATTTGGGGCAGGATGGAATGGCTTCCTTCACAGGAGAGCTGCACCTTCCTTCTCCACAGGAGAGCACAACAACACGGGAGTTCACAAGCCACGGAAGATGGCATTTAGAGCCTCCAAAATACAGGAAAGCGGGGTCTCCGCAATCACATCGGTAGCCTTACTTCAAAGCAAAGACGAGCCTGGATGCTGCTCACTCGGATCCAGTCCCAGCTGGTGCAGAAATGACGAAGCCAGCCTGTCCCAAAATAGCTATAAAAGCATATGAGTAAATGGCACGCAGAATCCTGCTCAGCCGCCTTGCAGTAAACGCTGTATGCTGGAGCATACTATGGCACCCTGTGTGCACTTGCTATTAGAGCAGATACTGTAATGAGTGCACTCCTACAGCTCATTTATATGAACTCAGTGAAGGTACAAGGCTGATGTCTTCACCAGACATTTATTGAAATCTTATTTGAAACTTCAGCACATATTCCAGCAATTTCGTGAGGCACCCCTGTTGCAGGAAGGCAGCAGCTGACAGCAGAGAAGAAGCAGACCCAGCTACCAGCACCAGCAGCCATCTCCTGCCCCTGCAGCACGGCAGCTCCGACAGGCACTGCTGAAGGCGTGCTGCAAATAGAACAGGAAACCCAGAACCGACTGGCTGCAGCATTACAGGGATTAGCCACAATAGGGAAAAAGCTGGGAACATTTCAGAACTGCATCGCAGATGCTAAGCAGAGCACACTGGACAGGAGGGGATTAAGTGCTTAGCAGCAAAACAAGGCTGCCAGGCCCACCCAACAGGGCAGTTGAAGGCTCCAGCCCAGAAGAGGTCACCTAAGTCCTCCTGCATCGCCCAACTTACATAACAGCTCCCCTCCACTGCCCCAACATGAGTTGGTGGAGCTTTTCTCCCTCCCACAGCACTGTGTGCTCTACCAGGCTGAGAAGAATCCCATTTCAAAGGTACTTCCAGCAAGTCAGCAGAGCCAACAGCCTTCCTATTAGACCTACAAGTCCCCAGGGATCAACTCTATCATCTGTGTGGGATGTCCGCCCCACACAGGGCTACCTCAGGTTCAGAAGCATTTTGTACCAAAGCAGGAAACTCTGGGTTCTGCCCCCAAGTCACCTTCAGAGCTCCCCTGTCCAGATACAGCACTGAAGCCAGGGTTTGAGAGGTGCCTGCTCTGGGAAGCCTCCTGCACACCAGTCCCCTAAGTGCCACCACCCCCAAGCAAGGCAGGTCTCCAAGGCCTCTTGAGAGGGCACATATTCAGTTGGGCACAAATCTGGCTTGACTCTATGGCAAAGCTTGTTTCCAGCCAAAAGGCACTCAAGTGACTGGATCACAGTACTCTAACCCCTAAGCTGACACTATTACCTCCTTCCCCCACCACCAGTTGCTCCTCCCCATGCACATAAGCCAGCAAATACACCTGCAGCATCATGACAGACAAGATCAGGGAAGAAGTTTGAAATTGGATCTTCTACTGAGCTGCACAAATCCAGATCCATCAGACTCTTGTGTGGCAACTGCTTTGACACCAGCTTGTCACCGCTGTCATTCCAGACCTCTGTACAGAAGTGCTGAAGGCAAAAATCACAATAAGGATGGAAAAATGGCTTAATCCTGGATGTGTGCGCAGCAGTATCATCTCACAAACATGTTTGCCTGCCGTGCAGCTGCCAAGAGCTCCTGTCTTTCACTCACCAGCCCACAGGGTTCCGTTGACAGGTCCGAGGATGCGTCAACTGAACCAGCTGATTTAGGTCGAGATTTCTTTGGATTATGTTTACCACACACCCATGCCTGGACATGTTCTGCAGAGCAGTCCCACCAATAGTGTCGCAAGCGAAGAGCCAGAAGGAATTATGCCAAATTTGCCACTCAGTGCACCTTGGTATCACTCAGCTGCCACTTCAGCATGAGATATATTGACAAAATGCACTTGCCCTCGTTGTCGCCTCAGAGTTTGATGCTGGCAGTACTTTAGACCAACACCACTAAACCTTGAAGTCAGGCAGTGCTGATTTTTGCAGCTTTCTGTGCTCCCTCATGGGTTGGAGCTGTGTGAGGAGCAGGTATTTCTGTTTCTTCTACAAAAACAAAACACTGCGTGTGGTAGTATTTGGACATTCAGCAACATTACTGCTGGCCAAACATACTTTGCCACAGCCACTTTAGATACCATGTAGCCAGAAATCCAGCTCCCCCCAGCACAGAGGGAAGCAGCAGTAGCCAGGTAACAACCAGGATGCTGCAGCGTGTGGGTGGATGCCAGATACAGAAGACAAAAGATGTCACTGGCATGAGCACACTCAGCTGCCCCCACAGCACTTCAGCATAATTAAGCTCCTCCAGAAAAAAAAAAAGGCAGTTGAATAATGCAAGATTCATAGGGTGGCAGTTTGTGTGTTATCTTCTCTGCACTTTTTAATTAGCCAGTCACTAAAAAGAAAAACACATCTTTAATTGCCTAATATTGAATGAGTCACTTGCTTTCTGATTGCACACTAAGCTATACACTGATATAAATTTCCACTTAATCCAGCTGCCTAAGCGGGGTTGTTCTCAGGCCTTTTACTAAGGCTCTTAAATGCCTGCAAGAAAATATATTTATACTAAGTTGCTTTACAGAGAAGCAAAGATCAGGTACAGATTTTTCTCCCATCGTAAATGGGAAGAACCTAAGCGAAGATGAGGTGTTCTCTTAGAGCAGCCACAGCAGAGTTCCACCAGCTACAGGCACAGCTGCCCAAGAACTCAGAGCTGGGCAGGCTGGCATTGCTCTGCAGCCCCTTTGCCACTGAGGTGAGGGGACAACCATGCACACACACAGGACAGACACACCCTCACTGGCCACAGAAAACACCTGTATGAGCAGCTCATCTGCAGCTAGCAAGTTTTTACCTGCTGCCAGAGCAGATCCAACTGGAATCAAGCCACGGTCTCTTCCAGACACAGCCACGGAGGGCAGCAGGAAGGCCAAGAAGTGCCCAGCATCCCCACACGCAGCCTCAAGCGTCACCAGCTGCCAGTCAGTCCAGGTCACAGCAAGCTACCTGCTGTGCCCCGCTGCTTTGATATGCAGAAGATCCTGGCTCCCACCACATCCACCCAGGATCAGCATGTGTTCAGACTGCATCAGAAGAGGCAGGAACCCAAAGGTCTGAGCCCCAACTGCTTTTGCACTCCCCTCACTAGAAACCAAGCCTCTAGCCCACCCTAACAGAGCACATCTTTTCCCACACTGACATTCCCTGCTCCTTCAGCAGAGATTTCTCAATGCTGCTTCTCAGAGCTGCTACATACTTGCTTCTTCCACACGTACTCTGCAATATGACTTTCCTGAAGGCACTACAAAATACTACCTGAGGAAAGCAAGATCAGACCCACTAACAGTGTTACATTCTGGTTACCTGGGGTGCTTTCATCAGTGTATGGCTGCGTGGAGATGGAGAGCTGTAGTGGGGCAGCCAGCAGCAGAGCACACCTTCAGCTCCTTCCATAACTATTCCTGATGCCTTGCCATCTTCCCCCAACACAGATGTTAAAAAGTACTATACCACCAGCAGGCACTGAAACACCGGTCCTCCTGAGGAGGAAACAGCTAACAGAGCTAAAGCTAACGTGGTATTTTTAAGGGTAGTGACTGCAGCAGAGCTGTGAATATCAGGGTACAGACCGTTCTGGTAAGCTCAGGCCCCAGGGGACATCACACCAGACGATGTGATCTCCCCAGGCCAAAGCAGCACATCTAACCCCAGCACTAATCCCCAGCAGCATGCGGCTTAACTCCCCGCTCCCTGGGCATGCAGCTGGCCCTGAGCAGGCTGCACAACACCCGTCAAGCGGCTGCCGGATCAAGCCTCATTTCAGCATAGGTGAGGCAAGGCATTTTAGGGGATGGGAAGTTAACGGTGTTGAGAGCTCGGTGGCAGCGCTACCTGCCTGCCCATGATTTTGGGGGGCCAGAAGGTGCCATAAGCTAGCACAGAGCACAACAGGGCCGGTTCTGCCCCGGCTACAGCCCCGGTTTGCTGCCGCTGCGCCTTACATAAGCGGCGGCTCCATGGCAACGCTTTCCATAAGCGGCCGTGCGGCAGGGCGCCGCTCCCCACAGCCCCCCGCTGCCGGCACCCACGCCACAGCCGCCCGCGGCCGTTGGGGGCGACCGTTAACGGCCGGTGCCGCGCGCCCCCCCCCCCCCCCCCTCACCCCCGCCGCCCCCGCTCCTACCGGGTCCGGGTGCGGGTCCGTCCCGCCCCGCCTCGCCGCCCGCCTCCTCCTCGTCGTGCGCAGCCGGGGGCGGCGAGGGGGACGCTGCGGTGCTGCTGCTGTTGCCGCTGCTGCTGCCGCCGCCCTGCTGCCAGCCGTCCCACAGCCAGGGCCGGTGCGCCTGCTCCAGCAGCCGGCGGCTGAGGCGGTAGCGCAGCAGCTCCAGGTAGCAGGCGCCGCACGCGTCCCACTGCGGCTCCCTGAAGCGCTTCATGTACTCCGTCTGCACGCGCCGCGCCGGCACCACCATGGCGGGGCCGCACCGGGACCCGAGGAGCCGCCGCCCCGCTGCCCACCGCCACCGGCCGGGCCCCGCCCCGCCCCGCTGCCGCGTTTAAACCCAAACGGCGCCGCACGGGCCCGCCCCCCGCCCGCGGGCAGCCAATCACGGCGCGGGGATCCCCCCGCCGCGTGACGTCACGGGGGTGGCAACGGCCCCTCCCCCGCCCCCTCGGGTCCCGTCGCTGTCCCCAGCGCGCAGAGCTCAGCGCCTGCCCCCCTCCCCCCTCCCCTCCGCTCCCCTGTGAGGGAGCCGCAGCCGCCATGAGGCCTCCCCGCAGCCGCTCCTCGGGCAGAGCCCGGCCGCAGGGGGGCACTGGCGGCCTTCCGCAAGCCCGTGTGGGCGCCAGGGGTCAGCTCCGAGCAACGTTTGTGCACTGAATTTTTCCTTATTCCTCCCCAAAAAGGCTCTGTCCCCAGTTGAGGCAAGCACAGCTGCGTCAGAGCCGAGCTCCCCACAAGGCTGCCCCCAGCCATTAACACAATGCCTCAGCCCTCCTACACAAAACACCAGAACTCAAGCTCCCATCTTCTGCGTTTTCTCCCCAAACTGCGCCCTTCAGAGCAGGCTGCTCCTCATACCGGCCCACGGGATGTTAGCTCACCATAAGCAACACAGGGTTGTTGTTAGCTGCCCCTGCCCCTCCCTCCATTGTACCAGCCTTGTTTTGGGGCCATTTGCCCTTGCTGGCATGAAAACAAGCACCCAGCCACATGTATGCCATGAGGTAAGCCCTGTCCTCACGCTCCCGCCCCGCTTTCAGCACATCCCTTTCATTCCTCGCACACACACCCCGCAGTGATGGGCAGATTGGCCGCAGCCAGACTTGGGGAAATAACCCCGGACGATTTGTATCAAAAGACCTGTAACAGAAGCTTGTGGAGACACCCAACAACACCGAAGCCAAAAGCCACACCTTACCCAAGGCACATCCTGCACGGCTTGCCGCTATCAATCTTCAGGCCTTAGCACTGCAGAAGCCACCAGGCAATAGGGCCCGGTGTCCCTCCAGGCAGCCCCCATCCAAAACCAGCCCTGGAGCACATCCAGTGGCTCTGGGGGAGGATGCTGAACCTGTGCTGGATGAAGGAGGCGAAGGACAGCTCTTCCTAGAGCTGGAGCTGAACAGCTCCATGTGCCCCAGCCAGGAATCGCTCCCAGTCCTCAGCACAGCAGCTCTGGATGATCTCAGCGTAGCTATATAAACATTTACTTTTTTAATCCTAATGAGTTTTGGCTTCAGCACGTCAGGGCAGAGACCTCCATGGGCTGAGAGTAGCCAGTCATTAAGCAACTGCAGCTCCACAGATGCCTGAATGAGGAACTACAATATTTACGAGCCTGAGAATTTCCTCCCTTACAAATTTTGCTGTTTATTTTGCTGTTTTTTTTTTTTTTTTCCTTCATTAAAAAAAAACAAGTAAAGACACTATTCAAACCAAAACAGAAATTTGAATCCTGCTTTTAAATCCCTTTTCCCCCAAGGATCTTATTTCTGCCTCTTAATCCTTATTATTGTTCTCCTGCAGGTAGCACGCCAGGTGGCCAGGTAAGTCAGGAGTTTCACACCAGATCAATGGCACAGCTGGAACCAAGCCCCAGAGCCCTGATTTCTTCCACCTCTCCGTGGCAGTAGGCACCAGGGGAGGAGAGGTGGAAGCAGGGCTGGAAAATTACATGTCAACATTGCTTTCACATCAGCAGGCTGACTCCCAGCCGAAACAGGAGCAGTCATCATCTGAAATGGGGCTGCTGAGAGACCTCTTGGGTAAAGTCTGAGGGAGGGAGGAAACAGGGAAAAGAAAGAAGCATTTTCTTATAAATGAATGTAATTTTTAAAGTATTTAACAGCATAAAATCCAAATCAGCAAGGCTTCCCCTGCCAGAGAAAGAAAATAACACTCTGACACAGGCTTCCTAGGTCTGTATCTGCTGGTGAAACTGCCAAGTCCTGGGGGTGGCTGTCCCAGCCACCTCACAAAACAAGCCCCCACGCTGCTCACAGAAGCCTGCTTAATCCAGCAGATGCAGGGGCTTTGGTTTCACAGGCTATTATCCCTTTTAGGTTTGTACCAGCTGCCCCCAGAATAAAGCCATCACGGAGAAGGATCAGAAGCCCCAGCAGCTCCCCTGCTGAGCATCCCCCAGGCTGAGGGGCTCCCCAGAACCAGGTGCCATCAAATTAAACACCGAGTCAGACACTCTGAGGGTGCAAATCACCGCGCATGGAGACACAGACCACAACGCAGTCAATTGCAATATGTGCAAGGCGTTTTTGAGCTCGTGGTCCCAAGAACATGTGTAGGAGGCCACTGCAAGGAGCCAGCAGCAGCAGCACGCCGGGGGCCGGGTGACGGCTCCCCCTTCCCTCCCTGCTGCCTCTTCGCTTGTTGTCACCTCCACCTAATGGGGAAGAGCGTCAGCGGGGAGGATTAGCGGCTGGCCACTAATCCCCAGTGGCCACGATGCCCTGGGCACGCGTCTCGCCTGCTCCACTGCCCTGGCTATGTCTTTAAGCCAGCGCAGGGGGGACCTCGCGGAGAGCCCTGCTGGGGGGACGCCAAGGGGGGCACGCGGCCGGGGTTTGGTGAGTGGTGCCCCTAATATGGTCTCAGCCGTGCTGACTGGCTGGGGGCTCCCCCGGGAGGAATGCAGCCCCTTATAAAAGCCCCCACGAAGGCAAACCCTCCCGGGTTTTAGTGCAGAGAGAGCGAGGCGGGTTCAATATGGGAATTTCGCCTGCCTCCTGGAGACCGTCCAGGCTCTATTGGGTTTCACGCGGTGCGCAGCGGCTGCCTGGGCTGGGTAAGACCCGACAGTGACCGGGACGTGGTGGACATCAGCAGAAAAAGCCCGTTTTCGTGCAGCGTTGCTTGGGGAGGGGACACCTGCCCCCAGCCAGCCCCCTGCCCTGAGCTCCCTGCTCCACTCCAGCCACAGAAGCAGCATGGCCACGCTGGACTCCCAGCCTGTGCTCTGCTCTGACTGCTTTTCTGTTAAATCCTTGCTTTATTACGCCTGCCAGCTTTGTTGTGCTCCTAGTTGGCAAAACTGGAAAAAAAAAAAAAAAAGAAAAGAAAAAGACAGAGGAAGAGAAGTCCCCCACAAAGTCTGCAAAAGTGGGCACTCAGGCAAGGAGCTTTGTCCCTCTCTGTGTGGTGGGGAAGGGGCTCTCTGAATTCATCCCTCTTCACATTTCCCACATCTGTCAGCTTGCCTGCCCCTTCCCTCCTCCCCCCTTCCCCCTTAAGCACAGAAGGTTCAGCAGCAGCCTCCCCAGAGCATGCAGGGGGCTGCCATGGTGCCAGCCCCTTCCTCCAACAACCTCAGCTGCTCCCCGCCGCGGCAGGACCCACAGCACCACTGCTTCAGTTTTTCATCTTCTACATCCACCCAAGTGTTACATTCATCCCCTTAACCCATCCTCATCCCAAACAGCCTCCCCTGCCCCACAAACTGTGGGTCCAGACCCAGCTGTTCTCTCGGGCACAGCTCCTCCTGCACAGGACACGCTCGCTGGGACATCCCAGGAAGCAAACGGTAAGAAAAGCGGACGCTCGGAGTAATGCACGTGCTGGTAGGAGAGATGGTGCTCCTCTGAACAAACCATCCCAGCACCGAGGTTAGAAAAAAATGAAGAAGAAAAGCAATGGGAAGTGTTTTACCCATTCCAACGACCAAGCCCCCGTTTTGCTGAGAAACACAAAAAGGATCGCCAGCTGCTGACCGTGCGCCGGGGCAGCCACCGCCCCGGCAGTGGCAGAGAGAGCCACAAACGTGCGAGCAAACATGTTGTAGCACCCAGTTTAGAACAAGGCACGTAGATGGCAAATGCACTCCTGGTGAAATAATACTTCAGAGGGGAGCTAGCCCAGATCGCAATAGTTTAAAAAAAAACAAAACAAAACAAAAAAAAAACATACAACCCTGCCTTGAACAAAATGTCACCACTGTGAAGGCATTTTCTCAGGTCTCACACGGGAGTATGAGAATGGAAATGCATGAAAAGCATGGCACACCTCTAAATGGACATGAAACGAGCCATCAGCAGGGGGGGGGATTTATTTTTAACCCCTCAGAACCTGCGGATGTGCAAATCCCATCTGTGCAAGTCTCTGCAGCTAGCGAGAGGCACGTAATCGGCCGCTTGGCTATCGGGCTGGAAAATGCCAGTGCAGTCAGGGTTAATTTAGCCTCCAGATAGGAGGGAGATTAAAGTCTTAGGGTGTCTCTTCCTTTGGCTTCCTAGCAATCCCAGCCAGCAGCCTGAATGCACACACATGTGCTAAGCGCTGCCGACCGCACAGCAGCTTTGCAGTTTGGGCAGAGCCTGGCCCGGCTCGCAGCCTCTGCTCCAAGTGGGACGGAGCTGGAACAGCCACAAGGAGCATGGTGCTGCCCTGGGGCTCAGCCCCTCTGTTAGCATCACGGCACTGGGTGCCGGCCCTCGCACATGGGCAGCAGGCAGCATGGACCCAGAGCTCTGGGCTTGCTCCATCCCCAAAACTGTCTGCAGCCCCTCACGCCACTCAGCATTTAATTGGAGATTTCCCATCGGGTCTTAAAGGCTTCCCGGAGGATTGCTGCTCAGCGAAGCACAGTGCCTGTTTTAAATAAAAGCAATCATTACAGTGAGTTTCTCCAGTTTAAGTTGTCAATACATTTGTCTCTGGATGCCTTTTTGCCCTCTCCAGTACTCTCTATCCTAAAATCCTCCACCAAAGTAGCCTTCTTACACAGGCAGTCACCAAAAAGTCCAGCCACTCTCAAACAGCAGCTACAGACACAGCAGCATCCTTACAAAAAGAGTATTTCAGATCCATAACCAGACAGGTTGGTGCTGGGATTTTGATTTTCAGAGGAAGGGGACCAAGCACAGCCGTGCACCTGGTGGCAAAAGCCAGCATGTGAAGCACCGCATCCCCGCAGAGCACCAGCAATTATCCCCAGAACGGTTTTGACAAATGGGTGTCCATGAAAAAAAACGCACATCACTTGTGAGCGCCTCGCTCAGAGAGCGTTGACATCTGCACGCATTGTTTA